GGGCCTTAGTCATGACTGGATAGTCCTTCCTCCCTCCCCCCATGAGTACAAATCAGGGGTCACTTTTGAACAGGCAACAGGGTTCAAACAATGTACGGGAGGGACTATCCCAGCAACAGATGGGGGTAATGCTGGATAGCAAAACCCGAAATGAGACGGTCAAGACAAAAGGAACGTAAGGTGACGGGGGCTGCCTTCCAGCTAGCAGAATGCGGGAGGCAGGCAGCTGCCTATCCCTCTGGGCTTCTGAGAAAGCAGAATTCTTTAGGGCCGCATCCCCCAAGCATCCAAATCACCAGGGAGCCCATTAAAAGTAAGGATTCTTGGTGCATCTGGGTGGCTCAGTGGGCTAAGCATCCAACTCTTGCTTTCGGCTCAGGTCATGATCCCTGGATTGTTGGATCGCGTCCCACGTTGGGCTCTACGGTGAGCATGGACCCTGCTTAAGATTCTCTATTTCTCTTCCTCTACCCCTCCCCACCATGAAGAAAATAAAGAAAGAAAAGCACGGATTCTTAGCACCCCTTCCCCACACAACATATACTCCCCCCCCACCAGCTGTATCAGTGTCCTGGAGCTACTGTAACAAAGCCCACAAAACTCGGCGGCTCAGTACAGAATACAGAAGCATATTTGCTCACAGTGCTGGAGACCAGAAGTCTGGAATTAAGCTGTTGGCAGGGAATGCTCTCTCTGATGGCTCTAAGGAAGGGCCTTCCTTGCCGCTGGGAGTCAGCAGCAACCCTTGGCATTCGCTGGTTTGAAACTGGCTCACTCCAATCTGCCTCCCATGGCCTTTTTCCAGTGTCTCGGTCCCCACAGTTCCCTTTCCTCATAAGTCCTTGGGCTTAGGACCCACCCTAATCTACCTCGACCTCATCTTAAATCGATGACATGTGCAAAGACCCTTCCAAATAAAGCCACATTCATAGGTACCAGGAGCTAGGACTTCTCTACATCTTTTGGGGCAGGGGACACAATTATTAAAGAAAATATCGGTTTATGACACGTGTTGAACATGGTAAGGCAGACTTTACTCAGGGCTACTGTGATAGAATTTTGCAGTGAGGGAGGGAGATTGGGCTCAACTCTGAATATAGCATGGGCAAGAGGGAATTTATAGCCAAGGAGCAGGGTGGGAATCTGTGGGTGGAAAGTTACAAAGAGGAAATAACAGGGGCCTGGGGGGTTCTGGCCAAACCGACCTAACAGGATTCTTGCTAAAGGCAGGAGGACCAGCCATCACTTGCGGGACCGTGGGGGGTGGGGAACCTGATCAGATGCTGGAGGGGGCACAGATATTGCTAAAACGGGATTTTGCAAGGAAGTCCACAGCTGAGCCTAGAAAGTTCAGGAGCCCGACTCAAGTTTGGTCAAGCAAAGAATCTCTATCATAATTCAACTCATTTTGCCAGCTAGATACAATCTTGGGGGCCAGGGTGGTAAGTAGGTATTTTTTAACAAGGGTCCACTGGATAAAGGAGCCTAGGACAACCATCTTCCAGTCAGTGCCTGGAGGATACGAAAACTCAGGGAAGAGGGTTCTCTGAGGGCCCCAGTGGGGAAGACTCAGACAAAGGCTGGTGGGAGAAACGAGCCCAGGGAGGCACACATTCAGGGCAGAGAAGGAGGGTGGAGAGACGCAGTAGACTGCCTGGCCCCCAGGTTGGAGACTGACTCCATACGAATGAAGGCATCTGTGGCTCAGTCAAAAGTCTACCGCCTCTGCTCAGAAGGATTTGATTCCAGTTGCTGGGGGGGGCTGCAGGAGGAAGGAGCTGGTTTCGAGGATGCTGGCCTCCAGCAGACCCGGCAGGGATCACACGGCCGGCTGGGCATTCCACAAGGAAACCCCGCAGGGCTCTGTCCAAGGTCTCTTTCACTTTTCCTCCAGAACTCCCCTTCCCGGTGGATCCCACCTCTTTCCGAGGCTCCAAACTCCATTTACATGCTGATGGTCCCACATTTGCATCTCAGACTCCGAGCCCACCCCCACCCCAAGCCTCAGCCCTTGTGTGACCCACTGCATTCAGCCTGGACTATCTGGCAGGTGCCTGAAATTTAACATTTTCAAAGCTGAACTTACCCCTACACTTGTCTGCCTTCCCATAGTTTCTATTTCAGCTAGCATCACTACTCACCCGGTACCCCCAAACTAGAAATCTGCGCGCCGTCTTACGCTTCTTCCTACAACCACATGCCAAATCACCTCTGCTCCCCCTCTTTTGTCTACATTCCCGCTGCTTCATTTCAAATACCCTCAACTCCGTGCTTGGCTATTACAATGACCTCCTAATTAGAGATGTGGCCTCGCTTTCTCCCCCGGGAGAGGGCATCCTCTCAGATGAGGTGCAGCCTTTTTTTACAAGCTCAACTTGTCAAAAACCAAATCTGACAAACTCTACTGACTGTGGCATAAATACCAAACTCCTCAGCATGACACATCATCTTCACGTAGGGCCCTACTTACCTTACCACGAATCCCCCAAATCTTTTTTTTCTAGTTGTGAGTTTCCTGATTAAAAAACAATAATAATAATAAAACGCACAAACAAAACCCAAACCCCACAACAATTCACAGAATCAATCATAAAGGGGAGGTGATGTGAGGACTAAAGATCTCTGCATCCTCCGTCCCTGATTCTGGAGGTCTGGGGTATGTGTATTCAGGCGTCTTCCCAGGTGATTCAGACACTGATCCAGGTTTGCCAACCACAGGGTTGTGCCATTCTTTAAAAAAAGTCCAACACTTCACATTAGAGAATCCAGGCTACTATGCTTTTTTCCCCCCCTAACTTACTGTAGACGCACACACACACAAAACACAGAGCGGAAAAGCCTGCATCAGCCGGTCTGCTTCATTGCATCACTTCTGCATCCTCACCGAGATCAACACCCTGAGGTCTTGCCCAGCAGAAATTTTAAGAATGAAAAAAAGGCCTCTGCAAGGCCTGCAGATGTGACCCGCAGAAAGCACCTTTCCGATACCAAAAACATTCCTGCCCCCAAACCCATTTAGAAAATGCGGAACAACCCGAGAAAAGTTTGGCTGGCATCCCTCCACACTCCTTCGCTGGGAGGGAAGCCCCAGAAGACGTGGTGTTATGAAAGCACTTTGCTGTATTTTAACCAGCAGTGCCTTAGAGAGTGGAAATCCCGAAGAAAGCGCTCTCGCAGGCTGAAGCTGTCCTATCGGTGTTAATTCAAACGCGCACACACACTATTAGGCTGCCATGTTTACTTGGACGTGTGAAGTGCAAACAATGTAACCCAGGAACCTTGAGCTCCGACTCCCCACTAAGCACGCCGAACGTTCAAGAAACTTTGCAGGGCGTCTGCACATCCACTAAGGCTCGCGTGAACTCCGGAGCCAGGCTGAACAATAGAAGGGAGAGGCGACAGAAGCCAGTATTAACCAAACGCGCCGTTTTATGTTTTTAAATCTTCCCTCGTAGCAGAGGAGGCTTTTCCTCTGCTCCTACTCGCTTTCAAACTGTTTCCACGGTCATTGTCTCCCAGTACGGCGGCGCTGGGGAGCAGGTACAGCGTCCCGCAGGGTGTAGCGCGGTGGACCCGGGCCAGGGTTTTGGAAAACATTCCCGGCCCTTCCGGCGGGTCGAGGGAAAGTAGGTGGCCCGGGCGCCAAAGGCTGCTGCCAATGCAACTCGCAACTTTTGAAATCAATCCTTTTTGCATCATGCAACGGATGCCACCGCTCCTCGGGTTTGCAACCCCCCACCCCTCCCCCGAGACCAATCATTGCCGCGCTCGGGCCTGCACATCGCCCCCGCCCCCTTCCCGGGCCGCACGCAGCCACCGAGACGCTCCGGCCGCGGCCCGCCGCCTCTTAAAGGGCGGTAGCCGGCCCTTAAAGGCCCCTCGCGCGCGGCGCACGGCGGAGCGCGGCGGCCCGGTTCCCGGCAGGGGCCCGCCGCCGAGCCAGGCCGAGCCCCCGCGGCGCCCAGGCGCGGCCCGGGCCCTCCCGCCCTCCGCGCCGCCGCCGCCGCCGGGACCGGCATTTTTATTCAGGCGACGCTTAAGGGAGCCCGGCCGCGCCCGGTGCATTGTGGGAGCGCCGGAGTCCCGTTTTCGGGAGGAGGAGGAGGGCGCAAAGCGAACCGGTAAGCGCCTGGCTTGGGGAGGGGGGGGCGCGACGCCAGGCTTAAAGGGGAATATTCGTCCGCAGGCCCATGGCGGCCGTGCGGATCCCCCTCCGGGCCGCCCGGGCCCGCCGGGAGCCGTGCACGGCCGGCGCTCTCCAGCGCTGCCTGGAGAGGGGCAGAGCCAGGGCTTGGTGGGGCCGCTTTAAAAAAGAAGCACCGCCCGCGCCGCCGCCGCCGCCGCCGCGCGGAGCCGGGGAAGGAGGGAGGGAGGAGAGGGCGGGGGAGGAGTGGAGGGGGAGGGCGGCGGCGGCGACGCAGGGGTTAATTTTTTCGCCCGCCGACATTTTTGCGCGGCGGCGGCGGCGGCCCGCGCGCGCGGCGGGAGAACCCAGCCCGGTCCCCGGGCGCTGCGCGCGGCGCCTCCGGGGCCCTCCCCGCCCCCACGCGCGCGGCCTCCGGCCCGCGGGCGCCGCCTGACCCCGGGCGCCCCGGCCGGGCCGGCCCCGCGGGCCGGGGTCCCGCCGCGCTCGCGCCCGCCCCGCCGCGGCCGGTTGGCCGCGCGCGCCTCGCGCCTTCCCTGCGGTTCCCGCCGGGGCGATCGGGCTGGCATGGCCCGGCCGCCGCGCTGCCTCCGCCCGGCCGCGGCCAGCCCGCCGCGCCGCGCCGCACATCGCGCCCAGGCCCCGTCTGCCTTAAAAGGCGGCAGCCTGCGATTTAAGGTGTCCCCGCGTGCCGGCGTCGGCGCGCCGGCTGCCTCCTGGACGCGGGCTGCATGGAGAGCGCCCGGCCCCCGCGCGCCGGGCCGGGAGGCCACCCCATTGTTTCTTTCCGGGGCTTAGGAGCTTGGGGGTAGGGAGGTAGGTATGGGGCTGCGGTTGCACGGTCTCCCGTCCGCGCTTACCGTGCTCCCCGAGCTGTACGGCCCGCTTGGCGCTTTCGGTTAAAAAAAAAAAAAAAAAAAAAAATTCAGAGGTGGCCGAGAAGGAAAGGGTTAACCGTTGTCTTTACATATTCATATCATTGTTTTAAAGGTGTAAACATGCAGCTTTGGGGTTGGAGTTGAAGACCTCTTATTATGCAAATATACTCCCCTCCGTTAATTGCGATTTTCCCCCAAGCACACCCCCCTCCCCCCGTTTTTTCCACCCCCACCCTCCAAGTTTGCAAGGTTCGGATGTATGATGTGTGTCCCTCATTCCATTTGGAATTTTTAAAACTTAAGAGTGCTTTCTGGACTTAAGCTGTTGTAGACATTTATCCTCTTAAAAATCTGGGGAAATAGAAGTTATGTTTGAAAGGAAGTTAGTCCGCCCCCCCCCAGTTCCCCGCCTCTTTTGGGGGGGGTAGTGTTGGAGGTAGGAAAATAACTGGATGCCTCGTGAGTTGGATTTTTTTTCCCCCCTGGTAGGAGTGAGGCGGTGTTAAATACGAGGCGTTTTGCGAGGAAACGACTGTTTTGTTCCAAACTCTAGCTAAAGTCGGGGTGTTCTGGGTCTTTTCCTAACTCTAAAATGGCTTCAGAATTCGCCTCTAGGTAATTTGCTTTGCTCTCCTGCCACCTTCCTCCTGGAAAGGCGGTGTTCTTGGAATTTTGGAAGATTTAGTTCTGTTCAGTTGTAGGCTTCAAACTGAAATGATTGCTCACCCCAGACATGTTTTTTGTGAGGACAGTTTGGATTACCGCCCAAACTCGGGCTTTGTGAGATTTATTTTATTTATTTATTTTGTGTGTATGAGAGAGATTAATTTTAAATGAGTGATGTGGTTCCCAGGGGATAGAAAACTCTATAAAGGGGAATTATGTTCTTAATCATAAATTTTATAGGGGAAACTGACCCTAAAACTTGGGGTGTCTGTAATTCTGTGCCCAATAAAGTATCAATCTGGAGGCTGGTCAACCCTGGGAGCCCATGTAAGACTTCAGACTTAAAAGGGCTTGCTCTAGAAACTTCCAGGGGTACCGAGTACTGTAAGTGCTAGTGATTTAGTACAGTTAACGTTCTCATTTTAGTTCGGCAACCAAACGGAGCAAGCATATTTTGCCCATGATGTGTGTGTACTGGTTTTTTGGGCGGGATGTTTGCTTTCTAGGAAAGAGTACTGCGTTAAACGTTAGAAAACTTTCCACCGCGCGCTCTCTTGGAGAAAATTAATCGTGGTGTGTTAAACAGCCGTTCCACTTTTCTTTCAAGTTCTGTTCTTTAGTCAGGCTTCCTTAGTTTTGGGTCACGTTGTACTTCTGGCTCAGAATGAAAACCTGCTTTTTTCTAAAATTGAATTGAGCATCACGAAGAATTTCATCAAATGCGTTTCCGTCCGCGTCCTTTGCCCGCACCGTGGCTAATGGGCGTTTTATTTTTCTGTGTGAGACAGCAGAAGATACTGAAAGGTTTTCCAGAAAAGTCACTTTAGCCAAGACTTGATTTCTAAACCGTTGCGCTTCTCGGTTGACAGATGAAGTGACTAGAAGTTTTCTCGTGATGCTGGCCGTCAGAAGAGCCTCTGGGACTTACTGCTCAAGATGGCCTTGTGTCGTGTGCCAGCTGGCCCGCGGTGCCTTCTTGGGGGCGGGGGTGGGGTGGGGTGGGGGGGCGGCGTCCTGGCTGCCCATCAGAGCCACAGTCCCAGCAACAGACATCAGAGCTTCCCTAGAAGATGTCTGTGATGGTACAGTTTTTTCAATGATGTGTTCTGGCTTCTGCATCGCTATAAGGAGCTGTTGTGGCCTCAGATCGGCATATCCCTGTGGCCTGGATGGTTTCAGCTCTTTTCCTACTTCCTGGGCGCTGTGTTGTATTTACTCACTTGATTCTTAGGCACATACTGGTGAGCATTCTTGTAATGGTGTCCGTATGTTTCCATGATGCCTAGGTGGATCTGTAAAGAAACCAGCCGGCTAGGAGAGGGAGGGGAGGAGCCCAGGCGTGAGGTGTGTGCGCCCAAGAACCATGTCTACGCGGGAGTCCTTTAACCCGGAAAGTTATGAATTGGACAAGAGCTTCCGGCTAACCAGATTCACTGAACTGAAGGGCACCGGCTGCAAAGTGCCCCAAGATGTCCTGCAGAAACTGCTGGAATCCTTACAAGAGAACCACTTCCAAGAAGATGAGCAATTTCTGGGAGCCGTGATGCCAAGACTTGGTACGTGAGCCGTTCTTCCTTTCCTCCTTCCCCAAGTACGGCGTCTTGGCTGCAGTTGTAGCCAGTGAGCCAAAAGCCAAATTTCTGTCCTACCCTGTTGCCTTTTTTTTTTTTCTTCTTACATCTAATTTCTGTAAGGATTCAAAGAGCAGAGCAGAGCAATGATAGCTATGACATTATCGTAACTTGTTTGGAGGAAATACTTGAAAAGCACCAAGGAATGTGCTGTAGCCATTTTTAGGCTCCTAAGCATGCAATTGACACAGTTCTATTACAGTAAAAGCATTTCTTGCTAAATCGAATTTTGTAGTTAGCTGAGGAGTAAGCAGAAACTCCTTCAGGCCTCTGTCCTAAAAGTTTCCTTGTAAAGCCTGCGTTCTCTTCTTTGCCTTAGGGAAAGGTGGTGTCTGGGTGTCGCTGTGCGGGGCTTTGAGGGCAGTGACTGGGCTTGGGAGGACTCCCGAGGCTCCTTTGCACTGTGCATTGTTTTGCCTGAGCTCCTGTGGGGAGGAGGGAGAAGACTGCACTGAGGCTGTGCTCGACCCTGGATGTCGTCTGGCATCGAGAGTGTGGTGGTGTTGTCTTTACCGAGTTCCTGCTGTTTTCGTGGTTTGCCTCTTCCCAGACACAGAGCTCAGGAATGAATTCTGGGCTACCGGGTATCGTTTGTGAGTTTTTATCGCGTGGTGGGTTAAGGACGCGGCGAAAGCCCGTGATCGCTTTGCCTTTTGAGCGCTCGGCGCGTGTTCCGGGAGTCTGAATGCTTGGTGGTCGTGGCGTGTGACTTGATCCGCTTTCTTACAGAAGGTTTTCATTTCGTTTACTTCCACCCGTTGTTTTATTGTGTAGTTCTGTCTTCCCACCCAGCATCCCCCTTTCTTCCCCAAAGAACGCATCAAAGCAGAGCCGCTTTGGGGGGAGGGAGGAAAACCCACACCCCACGCTCTAGGGGCCGCGGGCCGCCTCCCAGGGGTTCGGTGTGAAAGCCGCTCTCGTCTGGCTGATGTCGAAGCACGGAGAAAGCCCACGTGAGGGAGTTGGATCGGCCGTTGGCGTACTTGTCAAGCAGGAAGAATGTACTGAGAAAGCTGTCACATAACTTGGTCGAGGGACAGAAGCTGCCAAATGGGCGAGAAGAAGTGCGGTGAAAACCTCCGTGTGGAGTGGTAATTCCTCTTTCTCACTTCACTGCGGACCTGGCCGAGCGAGCCGCGCACGGCGGAGCCTTGTGAAAATGGGTCAGATCATTCGCTCCTTCTCTCAGCCCCGTGACGCTCAGGAAGGTCGAGTGAGTCATTCTCTGCCACTTGGTGACGGTCAGGACCTGGAGTCCGTGTCCTCTGGTTCCTCCGCCCACTGTACTGTTTGGCATCGGGTCTGTGAGACGAGCACGCTTGAAGTGAGGAGAGGGGCTGCACCAGCTACAACCTAGCAGTGGCAGAGGGGACAGATGTCAGCAGCGAGGCGAGCGGTAGAAAAAAGCTGTTACAAGGACACAATAGCAAAGGAGTCTAGTCACACAGGGCTTTTGAGAAGTAATTAGAAGCCGTGACCCCTTTCCCAGAGAAATGCACACCCACAAAATTTAGCATTCATGGCATTCTCTAGGGGTAGACGGACCCCACGTTACCAGCAAATGGATGCTGAAAAGAGCGTAGTGTTAAAACCTCGTGTGGAAGTGGTATGTCTAGATAGCCACGACTTTGCTTTGGAATCAGATGTGGATTCGTATCGTGACAACAGTCACTAGTCACTAGTGTTAATCTATGCACGGTCTTACCCCTTCTGAGCGACAGTTTCCCAGTGTGTAAGATGAGATAATGATACTGGGGCACCTGGGGGGCTCAGTCGGTTAAGCATCCGACTTCAGCTCAGGTCATGATCTCACGGTTCATGGGTTCGAGCCCCATGTCGGGCTCTGTGCTGACAGCTCAGAGCCTGGAGCCTGCTTCTGATTCTGTGTCTCCCTCTCTCTCTGACCCTCCCCTGCTCACGCTGTCTCTCTCTCTCTCAGAAATAAATAAAACATTTTTAAAAAAATTTCTTTGAATGAGATAATGATACTTAACTGTTTGGAGTTGTTGGAAGTGCCAGAAGTTATCAGTGTATGTATATGTACCATGTGGATCTGATTTTAGATATACACATGACATATATGCACACAAGTGTATCTACCTGTTTCTAATTTTTTAAAAATGTTTTATTTAGTTTCAAAATAAAGAGCATGAGAGAGAGAGAGAGAGAGAGGAGAATCTGAAGCAGGCTGCAGGCTCTGAACTGCCAGCACAGAGCCCGATGCGGGACTCAAGACTCACAAACTGAGATTATGACCTGAGCCGAAGTCGGTTGCTTAACCGACTGAGCCACCCAGGAGCCCCTATCTGTTTTTAAACTAGAGTGTCCTACCTCCTGGATTCTAAGATGTAACAATTGTTAAATGTACAGTTGTTTATTTAGATGTATGCTAACTAAAGAAGTGTTAAAATCAGTGTTTCTTGCCTGGTACTTAAGAGCTATCAAGTATTGATCACTGCCGGCAGTGGTGGTGGTGTGATCATTGGGGTTATTTTTCTCAATGCAAAGAATTTTCAGTCAGTCTTGCTGAAAGCTTAGAATTCCCCACCACCCACTGATAAGTAAATATACACGGCTCAGTCTGGTTCAGTCTGGTACGTGAGACCTCCACTCTGGCACTTTCCTCTGTTAGCACTTGCCTTTCCCTGGATGTCCCTCTCTCCCCCAGTCACCACGCTGCCGTTCCAGAAGAAACGGGATGTGAGCCACGTGTGTAATTTCAAATTTCCGAATCTTTAAAAAAAAAAAAAAAAATAGCATCAGAAGAAGTTAATTCTAACATATTTGATTTAAACCAATGCATTGTATATGAAAAAACATCACTTAAACCCCATTGATGTAAAACATTCCCAATGAAGTGTTGGGTTTTTTGGTAAATAGGCTGCAGTCATCAGTCAGAACGCTCTGGTGCTGCAGAAGTCCTTCACGAATCTAATTTATTATTTAATTTTTTTAATGTTTGTTTATTTTTGAGAGACAGTGTGAGCAGGGGAGGGGAAGAGAGAGGGCGACACAGAATCCAAAACAGGCTCCAGGCTCTGAGCCGTTAGCACAGAGCCTGACGTGGGGCTCGAACCCACCAACCGCAAGACCATGGCCTGAGCCGAAGGTGGACGCTCAACCGACTGAGCCACCCAGGCGCCCCTCAAATTCATTCAATTCAAATTTAGGATTAACCATATGAGAAACATTTAAAGCCAACGTTCAGCAACTGTGTTCAGCCGGTTTCAGGAGTCCTGCAGTTCACATGAAAACCCCAAAGAAAACCGTGTTGCACTCTTTTCTAAAGCAGATAGCAACATCCTCAGAAGAACTTGGTGGTGTTACCTATTTAGGGAGAGCCCAACAGCGGCCCTCAGGCGGAATTGCCGGGGGGCGCCGCGCATCCCCGTCGTGGAGAAGGCTCTCCGCGCACGGTCCCCTCGCTCGCCACCTGGGCAGCGCGCTCCGCTGCCACGGACCCCCGAGACTCGCCCTCCGGACCCTGCCTGGCCATCTAGTGTAGCGGGAACTCGGCCCGACTTCGCAGAGCCTGTGACTCTTTTTTAAACGTGGTTTTTGTTTCTGCATTAGTAATAACGCGTCGGGCCTGTGACTCTGCCTCTGTCGCGTGTTTTCTCGTTGTGCCGCAGCGCTGTTACTCAAGCGACGTGTGAAGGGTGCTCGCGTGTTCATCAGGGTGATGCAGAGAGGACTTGCTCTCGTTCCATTTGGAATTGGGAATGAAGAGGGCACCCCGCTCTTACTTCCTGTGCTGTTCCATCCTGATTTTTTCTCGGCCTTCCGCTGTTCACTGCGAAGTTGAAATAATCCCAAGGGGGCAGGGCCGGAGGGCATGCTCTGAGGAAAGGCGCAGGAAGGCACTCTGTATGCAGCTTACTTATTGGGAGGGCCGTCTGGATTTGAGAATACCTGCCTATTATCTTTCTAAATGTTTAGGGGCGCCTGGTGACTCAGGCGGTTGAGCATCCGACTTCGGCTCAGGTCATGATCTCACAGTTTGTGGGTTCAAGCCCTGCGTCGGGCTCTGTGCCGACAGCTCGGAGCCTGGAGTCTGCTTTAGATTCTGTGTCTCCCGCTCTTTGACCCTTCCCTGCTCAAGCTCGCTCGCTCGCTCGCTCTCAGAAATAAATAAAAAACATTTAAAAAAATTTTAATGTTTAGATACAGTTTTTTTAAATTAGTTTTATGTTTTGAGAGAGGCTGGGGAAGAGGGAGGAAGAGAATCTGAAGCAAGCTTCGCACTCAGTGCAGAGTCCCGCACTCACTGGGTCTGACCATGGCCTGAGCTGAAATCCAGAGTCGGATGCTTAACTGACTGAGCCACTCAGGTGCCCCTAGAAACAATTTTTAATAAATTGAAATGCTTCCTACAGGTTTGTTTAGCAAAATATTTTTCCCTGTTGATAATGCAACTTAGTAAAGGTGACATTTACAAGTTTTCCACAAGAGGAATAACGTGAAATGTTAAACTTTCCTCTTAAAAAATGCCTTTGGGAACCTGTGTAATAGATCGCGTAGGTACCACAGGATGTACTTGCGTGACTGGAAACATTGAATACCTGTTCCAGATTTGTCCTTCTCCTTGGCTCTTTTTTAAAAATTATTTATTTGAATAATTTTACACCCACATGGAGCTTGAACTCATGACCCTGAACTGAAGAGTCTCATGCTTTTCTGACTGAGCCAGCTGGGCACCCCCTTTCTCTCTCTCTCTCTCTCTTTTTTTTTTTTTGGTCATTATTGTTTATTGACTAAGATGGAGAAGGTAATAGTAACAATAAATAGTAACATTTATTTTTGGGACAGCGCAAGCAGGGGAAGGGGGAAGGAAATGAGGAGGACAGAGGATCCCAAGCGGGCTCTGCACTGATAAGTTGACAGCAGTGAGCGTGACAGGGGCCTCGAACTCACGAACCGCAAAATCATTACCTGAGCTGAAGTCAGATGTTTAGCTGACTGGGCCACCCAGGTGCCCCATGACATTTTTTTTTATACGTATAAAAGATTTTACCGATTTTCTGTTGGGGAAGATGGAGTAATTGCCTGAAGATGGACTCAAGAAAGCGCCTATGGATTAGACACCCCAAGTTCCACTTATGCTTTCTCATCTTTACAGAAGTTCTCTGTGGTGCCAGTCACGTGACACAGTGATAGGAAGGGAAAATTTCCATTCGAAGTATCATTAAAGTCTAAAAATTGTACCACATAGAAGACGAGTCTTCATGACTAACAAATTTTATTCTCACTTTCTATCTTAAGCTAGTGATGCTTCACGTTTATTTCAGTTAATGCTTCTTGATAGGAAACATGCTGCGTTATACCCGCCCGTTCTCCTCAGAGCACAAGTGGTGCGAACTGAAACGGCTTTTCCATTGGATTTTTTGGGTGACGGTAACTTTCATCTTCGCAGGCATCGGAATGGATACTTGTGTCATTCCTTTGAGGCACGGCGGTCTTTCTTTGGTTCAAACCACGGATTACATTTATCCCATCGTCGATGACCCTTACATGATGGTGAGTTTGACCCCGGTGCGTTGTCACACCGGGCACTGCTTGTTGGTTGGGTTTGGGGCTGTGGCTGGGGTTGTTTTTGTCACACCCAGACTGTGGTCGTCCTGCCCTGCCTGGACTCCTGCGCTTGGAGCCAGCGGGTCTGTGCCCTGCTAACACTTGCGGCAGACGTGGGAGCCCCTCTCTGTGTATCTGCGCGAACACGTGGTCTCAGCGCGTCTGGGGACTGACCTGTTTGTGGTTTTCTTCTTTCTTTCTTTCTCTCTCTGACATTTACCGACTCCACCCCTGTGTTTCAGGCTTTGAGGTGTTACCATACCCTGTAGGAGGACTGATCCTAGATGGTTCCTTCTGGAAGTAAACAGCTTAGCATTTCCCCACAGTTAAGCGTCTTGACCCTTCATTCTGATTCTGGTCACTGTCCACCTCGGTGTGTTAGGTGCCGCCGTGTAGAACACATACCCGAACTGCTGCGTTGAAGCTTGTAGCTACTGATGGTGGCCCACCCAGATGTACTATCCACTGGTTCTGTGCGTGCTTACGCCGGCAACCCCGTGGTCCAACCAACTTGAACCCCCTACCCTCCCGGACAAGGAGCTGATGAAGCAACCGGAAACGTCCCATTGTTAGGAAATGGTCCTCCCTGTGTGCCGTGGTCACTGGAATCAAGCCACACACATAATGACTTAGGCCATGAGACAGCTAAGTGGCAGAAGAGGAAGGTCACCTCAGGTGCCAATGACAAGCATACAGTTTTCTGGAAACCAGGTCCGGCCTCTGCATGTCTGTCTGTTCTCCTGAGCAGTATTCCTGAGCCTGAACCATGGCAGCCCCAGGCGCCCCACCTCGCCAGAGCACAGGTGGCTAGGACCAGAATTCATCCTTTATCCATCATCTCTAACAGCAAGTGTGAGAGCCCAGGACAGAAGGGACAGATTGCCGCAGCTCTGAGCACTGGCAGACACCCCAGGGTGCAAAACACCTGTGGCCCTTGCTGTTGTCACTTCCGAGCTCACTGCCGATGGGCCAGGAAGTTGTAAGAAAACTTCAACAAGCCATGAACCAGCTGCTGAAAATGATAATACTTGGGAGTTTGATTATCCTTATCTCAGAAGAAAATTTTGTTATTTTTTTCCTTCATTGTCTAGAAATGACAATTTAACATTTATGTATTTTTTAAAATTTTATTTCCAAGTCATCTCTATACCCATCGTGAGGGTCAGACTCACAACTTTGAGATCAAGAATTGCATGCTCTACCAGCTGAGCCACCCAGGCGCCCTGACAACTGCTATTTAAAAAACCTCCAGTGGTGATAAAAAAAAATCTTAATACATTTCTATTGAATTATTTTAAAGTCCTTATTAAATAATTTAGTTCACTGGAAACACTTTTTTTTAATCTCTTCTGTTTTTTGATTTCTCAACCAACATGTTTTTCCTGTTTACCTTCTATAGCCTTGAAAAGAAACTACCAGAATTTCTCCCTCCCTGTATTATAAAAAAAGTCTTCTCTATAACCAGTAAAGTCAACATATTTTTAGCGTCTGTTTAGGACACATGGCCGTTTCCAAGATTGCTTTAGGACAGCTGTTCTCAGACTTTCTCGTTCTGCAGCTCTCCTTCCAGACCCCGCAGCTCCAGCCTTCCTCGCCCCAGCCCCTGCCCCCAGCCCCCCGTTCCCATCTACAGACACGGCAGACTTCTCCCAGTATTTTAGAACAGGGAAGAACATGGAAGTTACTTGTTCTGTAGGAATGTCTGAGAAAGACTGAAGGAATGGCCTCGTGGCTCTGTGACTGAATGAAGGACACAGAAGACGGGGACCACATCGCTGGAAAGTCCCTGGGTTCTGGGACGTGCTCTGTAGGCACACACGGAAAGTCCCTTGCGTGTCCCTTCTCATGCCTCCCCTCTCTTCCAGGGCAGGATAGCATGTGCCAATGTCCTCAGCGACCTCTACGCGATGGGGGTCACGGAATGTGACAATATGCTGATGCTCCTTGGAATCAGTAACAAGATGACGGACAGGGTAAGTAGCGTGTTGTGTCAGGGGCGTCACTTGACTGGCTAGCCCTTCGTCCCCCGTCCGTAAGCGAGGCGGCCAGGCAGCACGGCTTTCGTGCTCTGTCAGGCTCCCCGTTTATTTTTTGGCAGCTATCCGTGAATTAAAATAGAGAGTCTGGCCTGTTCTTATTTTCATTTCCACCACCTGCTTCCCGTTCTCTTCCAGGTAGACCGAAGCCAAGGCAGTCATATGTGTTTGCTTTGATAGAGTCTAGGCCACAGTCGTGGCAGCTCTGTGCCGGGCGTGTGGACCGGGCCAGCCTTACAGCCCCTGCCGCGGCTTGCTGGTCAGGTCGCTGATGTGGACGGGGAAGAGACGGGCGTCATGTGTCTCTGTGGCTCACTCAGCAGTGTCTGTGGCCTTGCCGCCAGTGCCTGTTGTTTGACACAGAGAGGGTTTTGCTTAGATCGTTTCTGTCCCCTCAGGAGAAGTTTTGCTCTCCTCCTATAAACTAAAGTTTTCAGGAGGTCCTTTTCTGCCCCCATGGCATGCACTTGGGTCCTGACGTAACAGGCTCTGGAGAAAGGCCTGTGGGTGCATATTAAGCTGGTTTTGGGGGTTTTTTAAATTTTATTTTTATTTTTTTATTTTTTATTTTTTTAAATATTTTTATTTATTTCTAGGAGAGAGAGAGAGACAGCATGAGCAGGGGAGGGTCAGAGAGAGAGGGAGATATACAGACTCTGAAACAGGCTCCAGGCTCTGAGCTGACAGTCAGCACAGAGCCCGACGCGGGGCTCGAACCCACGAACCGCGAGATCATGACCTAAGCGAAAGTCAGACGCTCAACCGACTAAGCCACCCAGGCGCCCCTAATTATATTTTTAAAGCTAGTCTTGGAATTCTTTGGGACCATGTAAGGAGCTGGCTCAGATTTAGGGCAGACCTCTGTAAGGAGTCCTATTCCAGTTTTTAATTCTCTGCTGTCCAGGCTTCATTCACATTGTATCCTAGAACAACTTCTAACTTTTGATAAAATGGCTACAATGTAAATTCTTCCTACTTCTTTCTGTTACTCTCCAGGACTTCTTTTAGGGTTTTATAATCTTTTATTATTTTTTTAAAAAACGTTTTAATGTTTTTATTTATTTGAGAGAGAGAGAGACTGAGCACGAGCAGGGGAGGGGCAAAGAGAGGGAGACAGAATCTGAAGCAGGCTCCAGGCTCCGAGCTGCCAGCACAGAGCCCGATGACGGGCTCAGACTCGTGAACCACGAGATCACGACCTGAGCCGAAGTTGAACACTTAACCGACTGAGCCACCAAGGCGCTCCTAAATCTTTTATAATAACTACAAGGATAGATTTTCTTAATTGGGTTTTGAACTGAATTATGTGACGTTTAATTTGTGTTCTTTTAAACCGTAGGAAAGGGATAAAGTGATGCCCCTAATTATACAGGGTTTTAAAGACGCAGCTGAGGAGGCAGGGACGTCTGTGACAGGCGGCCAAACAGTGTTAAACCCCTGGATTGTTTTGGGAGGAGTGGCTACAACTGTCTGCCAGCCCAACGAATTTATCATGTAAGTTGATTTTTGTTTCACGTCACCTGCCTGCTTCCCCTTTTTCATTTTTTGATAAAGGTGTATTGAGATACGAATTCACACCCTATACAGCTCACGCGCTTAGAGCACAGAGATCCGTGGTCGTTGGTATACTCACAGGGGTTGCGCTTCCATCACCAGAGTTGATTTTAGGACATTTCGTCAGGCCAGCTAGAAACCCGGCCTCCTTCAGTGTCCCGTCTCATTCCCCTGCCCCTCCCCCTGGCTTCTGTCATTTCACATAACGGTAGCATGATAGTTTTGAGGTTCATCCATCTTGTAGCATGTATCAGTCCCTTATTCCTGTTTTCTTAAGAGTTCTAGATTTTTTTAAAGACATATTTAAGTAATCTCTATACCCAGTGCGGGGCTCGAATTCGTGACCCCGAGATCAGAAGTCACTCACCGTTCTGACTGAGCCAGCCAGGCACCCCTTAGGTTTTATTTATTAAAGGACAGTTTATTTAACAGAATTTCACATCACATAAAATTGAACTTTTTTAACATATGTACTTCATTGGTTTTCATTTCCACAAGGTTGTGCGCCCATCGCGACTGTCCAGTACCAGAACATGTTGATCACTGCAGAAAGAAACCCTGTGCCTTTAAGTGGTCTCGCTCAGTTCCCTCCCAGCCCTGGGGCCCGGAAACCACTGACCTCCTTTCTGTTTTGTGAATTTGCCCATTGTAGACATTTGTTTGTTCACAGTTGATGGACCTTTGGGTTGTTACCACCTGTTAACAAATGATGCGGCCTTGAACTTTTGTGTGGACGTGCACTCCACTTCCCACGGCCACACACCTGAGAGTTGCCGGGTCCGGTGGCAGCTGTGTGTTGTGAGCACCCACCCCACTGGTTTCCCAGCAGAGACGTGGGTTTACACTGAAGGCGGCAGCTTGGGAGAACGTCCACGTGCTCGCGGGGCCTGGTTCTTGTCTGCACACGATGGGAGGCGCCTCCTGGGTGGGAGGTGCTGTGTCCCTGGGTGACATTGGCGGTTCCTTGGAAGCTAATGATACGAGCGTCTTTTCACGCGTTTTCTGGCCATTTCTAGATCTTGGGGAAGATTCTCTCCCCTTCTCTCTCTCTTTCTCTCAGATTCTCTCTTAATACAAAGTGTTAACTTTTCACGTTTGACACCTTGTTAAGAAAAGCCACTGTGTCCTGTTTTATGAAGGATTCGAAACTCCATTTGTTGACCTTTTTATGAGTAAGTACTGTTAGGCACTGCGTTTGCATGGTTCAGAATTCAAGAGATCTAGAAAGATGTACAGTGCAGAGCCCCTCCCCCATTCCTTATCACCAGTTTCCCTTCCTGAACGAAGCAACCACTTTTTCCCATTTTTAACCAGTTTACTATGGACGTTTAGATTATTTTCAGGTATTGTGAATTGTAAATGGTACTTCAGCGTGTAACCTTATACATAGAGCATTTTGCATGTGTGTAGCTCTTGGTAAGAAATTTTTCAAAATAGAATTGCCAGGTCCAGTGTGTGTGCAGAGCGGCTACAGGGGGTCTCCCCAGGCCGCCCTCGGCTCTGCCGGCAGTGAACGGGGCGCCACGTTCCCCGAATCCTCACCGGCGGTGGCGTCACAGACCTCTTGTTCTTTGCCAGTCCGTTTGGTGGCTTAAACCTTAATTCTTCGTGAGTAAAGTTGAGCATATTTTTCATATATTCATGTCTTTTGCCCATTTTTTAATTGATGGGAGCTCCTTTTAGAGACATTATCTGACGGCTTTCATGTTAAGGGTCTTGCCTTTTACTTCTATCAGGGTTTTATTTTCCTGTCTTTTTTATTGGCAGTTCTCAGACTTTCCCCATAGAGAGGACAGAAGACCCTGAAAGTCCATCTGCCTCACACATTGCAGCTTTTCGGTAGAAAAAGCACTAAGCCATTGCAGAAATGAGAGAGGGAAAATAATAAAACAAGTTTCAACGGATTTTCTTGGTCAACAGCATGTATGTTTAGTTTGTAAAATAGGAATGAGCATCTACATATGATTATATTTTATAAAATAGTGCCCATAAACTTAAAAATAACCCATTAGTTTTATTGCGTGTAACTTGTTGATAGTAATTTTTATAGGTTGCACATGATCTGGGATGTGCAAGTACGTATAAGGGTTGAGGTGTGGCTGAGTCAGAATTGAAGACTCTTTATGTCTTAAGGTCTAGTGTTTGGAAAATGAGTTTCTTGTAAACTGTTAGAGAATTAACAGTTTTCAGACTTAGCAGCGGATAGAAACCTAGGAGGAGTTGGGGAGCCATTTGGTGATTTTAAGTCTGTGCCTCAGGCTTTGTCATCGACGTGGGTGAGTGAGTGGGTCGTCTGTCGTGGGAGGAGAGAGCAGCTGGGTGAGCCGGGACGGGACGGGAGCCTCCCGCAGTGAGGCTGCAGCAGAGTGGGGGCTGGCTTGGGAGATCGCTCTTCGTGCTTTCAGTGTTTGCCTTCTGAAAGACGGAACCATCGGACGCCCGGGTACCTCGGTCACTGAAGGGTCCGGCTCTTGATTTCCGCCCAGGTCATGACCTCACGGTTCATGAGTTTAGCCCTGCTGACAGCACGGAGCCTGCCTGGGTCTCTCTCCCGGTCGCGAGCACTCTCTAAATAAACTTAAAAAAAAAAAAAAAGCCCAGGCACAGCCAAGGATTGTGTCTGGGGCCAGGTAGGAAACTTAACTGTTGAACAGTGTGGGTTTGAGAACCCCCAGATTTGAGCCATGTCCCACTGCGGCTCTGCCTTACTAAGTGCTTGCGAAACTCAGCCCTGGTGAAGAAGTCTTGCGGCCCCAGAACCACGGTGGGTCTGTGCTGAGATTCACACACGAGCGGGGCTGAAGCCTGAGTGATTTGCTTCTTCGTACACTTTTCGAGGGTGGAGGGGCGGCCCTGTGGGTAACAGGCACACTCCTCGCGCCTCGGTTCGGCAGCGTTTCTGGCCCAGCCGTCGCCTCCGCGCTGAGTTGTGAGGTTCTGCCCCCTGCTGCTGTGTGTCTTAAGTTAGAGGAAGCGCCGCACAGATACATCATTACCAGTCTCTTCTTGCTCCGCTTCTGCCGATAGTGAGTCATAGTGAGTCTGTCTCTTCCGTGACCCAGACTAGAACCTGCCCTGTTCTCTTCTCCAGGCCAGATAACGCGGTACCGGGGGACGTGCTTGTGCTGACGAAGCCCCTGGGGACGCAGGTGGCCGTGGCCGTGCACCAGTGGCTCGATATCGTGAGTGAAACGCCGCCTGCCATCGCGGTGGGGGGGGTGTTGCAGCGCGTGTTGGGGACTGTGGCAGTTGTCGGGGTGGAGACCAGGGCACTCACCTCGCACCTCCTGTCGGTCGGTTGCACGTCTCCCTATCTGCTAGCCCCCGAGTTCGCTTCTCGAGAAGCTGTGCCTGGTCCAGAGCGAGCACGGCGTCTCGCCCAGGAGTGAGCCCACCCCCTTGCACGTGTTTGCACACATCGCAGACCCAGATCCTCCGCACGGCTTCAGTCTGTCTTCTCGAAGTAGTCGCACTGCCAGCGAGTGTGTTATCACCCACATCCTTACGGAAATTCTAGGAACTATCTGTTGTCCTTTAGTAAGGACTGTTCCTCGTATTAAATGCTTTACCCTTTGTGTCTGAAGCATCACTAAAAAAATAGGAGAATGTATGGAAAGTGTTGTGTTTAGGGTATAAATATGGGCACGGTTGTTGACAATTTAAATTATTTTAGTCTTGAGGTTTCTGGTTGTTTGGATTATTGTGTCTTTTTAAAACTAATTAGTAACTCAAAACATTTTGATAAATGTTTATGTCATGGAGGAAGCATCTAGAATATGAAGATATTTATCCTGAGTTACTTTTCCACGGAGCTATAATCATACTTCATTTAAGAATTTTCTCCTTGCCGTAACAGTTCAAAAATTAATATGGTTGTGGCCTGGCCTCACATATCATGCTGCTTTTCATTTCTGCAACTGTCATCTGAACTACCATTCTTGAGAAACAGTTGAAAAAGAATAATAATTTTATGTTATTTATCAACCAGCTATATCTTCCGTGACCTAGCAGAGTACAGAAACTCTCTAAGCCACATTCTTTAGTTCTGTTTCCCTTCCGTCCTGATGAGGGGAGGTCTCCCGCCAGGTGTGGTCACCTGTACTTCGGGTTGGAAAGCCATCACAGTCCAGTGACCCACAGTGACTTTCCATACGGCCACCCGGGTCTGAGTAATTCAGCGAGGTTGCTGGGAGCAGGTGAGGCCAAGGAGCCTGCAGGATGCGGGGTTTGGGACCCCGCTCCCTCCCCCCTAACCTGACATCCCCTGTCCTTTTTTTTTTTTTTAATGTGCAGAATTGACAAAAGCAGGATATAAAGATTATGTAACAGCATAGTACCCTCTCAAGGTCAGAAGCAACCCAAGCTTATACTGTCCTGTGTCTGTGTGTATGAGAATACTCTATTTTGTGCAGCAAGAGAATGAGGAGTAGAAAACCCTGAGTAGTTGTTAGCTCTGGGTGGGGGGTCGGGGGGGCGGGGAGCTGGGGGCCGAGGGCAGATCACAGAAGCGGACTTCAGTTACTGCACTGGGGGGTAGCTTATCGGGTATTATGAAAACCAAATGAATGCCTGAATGATGGCTGCTAACAGAGTATGATGATAGTGTGTCATGAGCCCAGGTTGTGATGCTAGATTCTTTGGAAACCAGACGGAGGAGAAAAGGGAAGTCTCTTTTCCCCTGACCTTTGTGACCTCCCCTGTGGTCACCCAAGGCCGTCCTTGGGGTATGTGCAGTCGAAGCTGTTTTTTTTCTTTCATTTTAAGTTTATTTTTGAGAGAGAGAGAGCGAGCAAGAGAGAGTGCTCAGATGCATGCACGAATGATGTAGGGGCAGAGAGAGGGAGACAGAATCCCAAGTAGGCTCGATCCCAAGAACTGTGAGACCACGACCCAAGCCAAAAGCAGGAGTGGGTCACTCAGCTGACAGAGCCACCCCGGCGCCCCGAAGCTGTTTTCGTATTTGATTGTCCATCCAGATGGCTTCATGCAGAGTTTAGGTAAAGTCAATAAAAGTATAATTTATGAAAATGAAAGCCATCGGCTTAGGAGAGGAGGTGGGGAGGAGGAGCAGAGGACCCCTGGGCCTGTTCACCGTGTGGCCTGTGCGCCGGCGCAGGCAAGAACAGCACCGGTGTCAGCACAGCCTCACTCCGCGCGCTGCGGCCACGGGTCCTGCTGGCTTTCCGTGGCCAGCCAACTGCAGTCCCGGACCACGGAAGCGGGGAGTCGAGAACAGGAAAGACTGCATGAGTCCCTGCCTGACGGGGCACCTGAGCCACTAGTCACAAGAGGAAGTTGGGAAACGTAAGCTTTGTGTACAAAATTAGATCAGTGAACCCTCCAGAAGATGACAAAGGGAAAAACACACTCCTCCAGTGGCTGGAAGCTTACTCACATTCTTTCCCTCTCTTTTCCTCCCGACCTCTGTTCCCGTTACTAGCCTGAAAAATGGAATAAGATCAAACTAGTGGTCACGCAGGAGGATGTAGAGCTGGCGTACCAGGAGGCAATGATGAACATGGCGAGGCTCAACAGAACAGGTAGGGCCGGAGGCCTGTCTCTGGCGGGGTCGGCGGGGGGGCGTTTCGGCCACACGGCCGCGTACGGACTCGGCCAGAGCCGCAGACCCTGCTGTGGGCGCCTGGTTTAGTGCCGTGGGTCACTAGCGGGAATCCAGGCGCACTGTGTGTCCCTGACAGATCGCATTTTATACGTGACTTGCCTTCGAGGAAATGGATGACTGAGGACAGGGCGAAACAGGACGTCAGACGAGGTCGTGAGTGCACAGCTCTCCCTGCAGCCCGCCTTCCTCTGTGCCGGGGGCGCCAGGGCGCTGTGGCTGCACCAGCACCTCTGTTCCCCCGAGTCCTTAGACCCCCTCAGGGTGACAGCGGTGCCGGGTGCAGAGAAGAGCTGAGGCCATATTTTCTCTCTATTCCTTCCAGTCCTAAATTTCTGTGATTATGGGCAGCATTGACTTCCTCTGTACCCCAGTTAAATGGAAATTAAATTTAGATAGTGTTTTTTAAAACTATTTTGACTTATCGGGGTGCCTGGGCGCCTCCATCTGTTAAGAGTCTGACTCGATTGCAGCTCAGGTCATGATCCCAGGGTCAAAGGGTCGAGCCCCATGTCTGGCTCCGTACTAAGCATGGAGCCTGCTTAAGATATTCTCTCTCTCTCTCTCTCTCTCTCTCTCTCTCTCTCTCTCTCTCTCTCTCTCTCCCTCTCTCCCTCCCTCCAAAAAAAAAAAAAAAAANGAAATTAAATTTAGATAGTGTTTTTTAAAACTATTTTGACTTATCGGGGTGCCTGGGCGCCTCCATCTGTTAAGAGTCTGACTCGATTGCAGCTCAGGTCATTCTCCTGGTTTGTTGAGTTTGAACCCAGCATCAGGCTCTCTGCTAAGCACGGAAAGTCCGCTTCAGATTCTCTCTCCCTCTCTCTCTCCCCCTCTCCCTCTCTCTCTCTCTCCCTCTCTCTCCCTCTCTCCCTCCCTCCAAAAAAAAAAAAAAAAAGTATTTGGCTTATTATTTCAAGGTGTTCTCGTTATTTAATTACCACATTTGTGTGTATAAACAAGTAATGGTATGCATAATTTTTTGTCTACATTTCTTATCTAGCTTCCTAATACTGACAAAATGTAATAATAACGGTTACCATTTATTTAGTAATTATTGTGTATCAGGAACTTGACCTACTTTCCTGTTTAATTCTTAGGACAACCTTATAAGGCAGCTACTAACTTCTTCAGGGTCACATAGCTAATCCGTGGGGACCTAGGATGTGAAACTACTGCTTATAACGCTTTTTAGTATTATCGTCTATTCTGTTCTAACCAATTTAGTAAGAAATTGAGGTTATTTCACAGTCTCGGCATGGTAATTGAGTGAATACTTTGGTACTACACTAAGTTTTAAAAACAGATTAAAAGAGGAAAGGGGCACCTGGGTGACTGAGTTGGCTAAGCGTCCTATTTGGCTCCAGTCATGATCTCACAGTTCGTGGGTTCAAGCCCCACTTTAGGCTCTGTGCTGACAGCTCAGAGCCTGGAGCCTGCGTCGGACTCTGTGTCTCCCTCTCTCTCCCTCCCCCCTGCTCATGCTGTCTCTCTCCATCTCTCAAAAATAAATGGTTAAAACAATTTAAAAAATAAAGTAAAACAAGAAAGTTCCAGAAGCAGAATTCATCTTCCGCAGAGCAGCAAGGCTTGCCGAAGGAATTCATAGAGTTCAAGCATCTTATACTCCCCTTTTTCCTGCCTTTCACGTGTAGATAGAAAATACCAGGCGTAGTGGATAATTAAGAAGGAAGCTCTTCTCGTGGGTCTTTGCAGTCCTAACCCCTCACGTGCCAGAGGCACTCTCTTTAGCAAAGCATCTGTGCAGATGATTTGGAGGCAGAGCAGCATTTAGAACGTCAGCTCCAGGAGGGCACAGAGACTTACTTGTTGGGTTCACCGTGGTGTCCCCGGAGCTTGGAGGAGCGTGTGAGAGGTACTCGCTACAGTGAACGAGCTAACTTTGCCACCTGCTAGCTTTCTTTTTGGTACTTCATGGATATTTTCTTTCACAATTCTGTGACTTGGATCCAGTTTCTTCCCTTTGACCGAAAGGAAGCACCTAAGTACAGGCAGATCCTGTTCTCAATCCCAAATCTGCCTAACTACAAAAATTGCCCTTTCTCCAGAACCACAAATTCCATCAACATAAACCATTGATGGAAATGTATACTAGTGATCTTGCTCCTCCTTAATTGCATGCTGTAAGGACTTGGGTTGTGGGGAGTCTCATCCTGGAACTTTGAAGATGAAGTTCAAAAATCTTTTCCTTAAAAATCACTCTTCATTCAGTTTTTCTGAGTTCCCTGAGCAAGCGGCCAGAAGCCGATTTGCATGAATGTTCTTGTCCTGTCCCCTCTCTCCTTCAGTTTCCCCCAAATGACTGAATCAAATAGATGTGATACATAAGCCAACGAACTCTTCAGTTATTTAAAAAAAGAAGAAGAAATGGTGGGGTTAACCAGGGGGTCTTAAAACATCTTGTCTGAAACTCTGAGTTACTTCAAAATGTGACAGTATGGGGCACCTGAGTGGCTCCGTTAAGGGTCCAACTCTTGATTTCTGCTCCAGTCATGACCTCACAGTTCCAAGATGGAGCCTTGCACTCGAAGTGCAGAGCTCAGTTGGGATTCTCCCTCTGCCCCTCCCCAGCTCGCATGCAAGGGCACGTGCCCTCTCTCTCTCTCTCTCTCTCTCTCTCTCTCTCTCTCTCTCTTTCTCTCTCTTAAAAATAAATAAACTTTGGGCGCCTGGGTGGCTCAGCTGGTTGAACATCCAACTGTGGCTCAGGTCATGATCTCATGGTGCCTGAGTTTGAGCTCCATATCGGGCTCTGTGCTGACAGCTTAGAGCCCGCTTTGGATCCTCTGTCTGTCTGTCTCTCTCTCTCTTCCCCCAAAAATAAATAAACAAGTAAATAAACTAACTTAGAAAACTGTGAAAACACACTATTTTTTTTTCAACATTTGCCATTCTACCCTTCTTTTAAAAGTTAAAAATTTTATGAGATGTTGGCACCTGGGTGGCTCAATTCGTTGAGCGTCTGACTTCAGCTCAGGTCATGATCTCACAGTTGGTGAGTTTGAGTCCCTCATCGGGCTCTTTGCTGTTAGCACAGAGCCAGCTTCAGATCTTCTGTGTCTCTCTTTTATCTTTACCCCTACCCTGCTCATGCACACATATGCACACGCGCATACACACACATATACCCACACGCGGTCTCTCAAAGATAAATAAATATTAGAAGAAATTTTTATGAGATGTCCAGTTGATACAAAAGAATTCTATAAAATATGTACAGGGCTTAAAGAACAGCACCCATGCATCCACCATCTTGTATGAGAAACGACATGGCCGTGGAAAGCCCAGAGGTGTCCCTCCCACACTCTGCTCCTGGATTCCTGTGTAGGACCAGCTCCTGCTCTGAATCTCCTGTTTATTCTCATGTATTTTACTATTATTATTATTATTAATTTTAGAGCAAGAGAGGGAGAGAGATAATGTTAAGAAGGCTCCATGCTCAGTGTGGAGCCCAACCTGGGGCTTGGTCCCACAACGCTGGGATCATGACCTAAGACGAGATCAAGAGTCAGAGGCCCAACAGATTGAGCCGCCCAGGTGCCCCCTCATGTATTTTTAAATATTTTTTTCACAAAGATTTGTATCTTTAAGCAGTTAGTTGGGTTTTTTTATTTTTTGCTTCACAGAATCGTACCTCTTTTGCTTGCTGTTTTGTGGATACTTAACATTCCTGAGTGTTATTATTAGGTGTATATAGTGGTACTTAATTCATTTTCATCGCTGTACAATTGTCCACTTGGTCACTGACTTAGCCGGTCCAGTGCTGCTGGGCAGTCGGGTCCCTGCTGAGAACTTCCTCAGCCCAGGCTCGTGGTTCACACATACCAGAAGTCAGTGCTGCCTCAGCGTTTCTAGATGGTGCTGATCACTTCTGAGGGTGCTTGCTCGCCACAGTTTACAGTGATCTGCTACATTAAAAATTTTCTGTGATATGTTTTCCCATTTATCTTACATATATTTTTTACTATAAGAAATGATATGCTTATTATAGAAGTTTTTAGAAAATGAAAAAAGGAGAGAAAAAACATTGTCCATAGTCCCACCACCCAAGACAGCTTCTGTTAATATATTTATGTTTTCTTCCAGGATTTTTTTCAGTGATTGGTTGGTGGTTTACTGTTGTTTTATTGTTCGTGTTTTCAACTAGTGGTTATCATGCATTTTATTTGCATTTGTTGTCTGTTTTTATTTACTTAACATTACTGAATTCTTTTTTTTTTTTTCCACATTATATCATCTTAGAACACATAATTCTTTTAAGTGCCTGGATGGTCTACCAGAGATACACCCTAATTAATTTACCTTGTGCCCACTCCTGAATTTGGGGTTGGGAGGGTATCAGATTTTTTCCATAGTTTGTTTCTGTGTTCCAAGAATGTTTCTTTGGCAATATTCCAAAGTCAAATTGTAATTATTTAATTCTTTGTACTCAGTTGCTCTCCTCATGTGCCACTCAAACTATTTAAGGAGTCTTTCTTCTTTTTTGGTCCTTCAAATTAAGTCATTAAACAGTAAGAAAGTGATTTTTACAGATTTGCATTTGTATGCATTTTCAGTTTGCTTGTATTTGAGCATTCAAGATTCCAGTCCTTACTGTTTGTATGTTGTTGGGAGGAGTACAATATGGCAGAATCTTATGGGGGAGTATGTGATTATATCTAACAAAATTGTGTGTACATTTAGAACTAGTGGTCCCGCTTCTATAACTCGTGAAATGACATGCGTGCAAGGCTGATACTCATTGAATCCTGTTTATAATTGCAAAAGAAGGAAACAACCTAGATGTTTGTCAGTAAGTTACTGAGTGTTCTAGTCTATGTGCTGACAGTGGAATACTATACAGCCATTAAAAGGAGTGAAAGATCTTTATTCTTGGAAGCTCTCTCTTTGTTTTTTAAGAGTTGCCTAATATAGGGGCACCTGGGTGGCTCCATTGGTTGGGCGTCCAACTTCAGCTCAGGTCATCATCTTACTGTTCATAGGTTCAAGCCCCATGTCAGGCTATCTGCTGACAGCTCGCAGAGCCTGGAGCCTGCTTCAGATTCTATGCCTCTGTCTCTCTCTACCCTTCCCCCACTCATGCTTTGTCTCTCTCTCATTCTCTCAAAGATAAATATTAACATTAAAAAAAATTTTTTTTAAGTTGCCTAATATAAAGTTAAATAGTAGCAAAACCACATGGGGAAGAATTATTTCAATTCACTTTGAGCCTGGTATTTTCAGTATATATCCTCAGGACAAAAATCCACAAAGATATGTCATTGTGTTTGGTGTATTTGTGTTTAGGAAAATATTAGTACAGTATGATAAAACAAATAGTATAGTAGGGAACAAATTTTAAGAATAAAAAGGAATAAGAAGCAGAATTATAAACTAATTTTAGGATGCCTGGGGGTTCAGTCAGGTAGGCACGCAACTCTTGATTTTGGCTCAGGTCATGATCTCATGGTTCGTGAATTTGAGCCCTGCATCGGGCTCTGTGCTGGCAGTGAGGATACTGCTTGGGATTCTCTCTCTCCCACTTTCTCTGCCCCTCCCCCACTAGTGTTTTCTCTCTCTCTCTCTGTCTCTCAAAATAAATAAATAAACATTAAAATTAAACTATAATCTTTACTTTGGAATGAGCAGTATGAACTCAGAAATTTTTTTCCCCCTAAAAATGCTTCTTTCCAAGCCAGCTGAAAAGCCTGGGAGCAGTGGTAACCCGGCAGTAAGGGCCACCCAGGGCCCAGATTGTGATCTGAAAATGAACATTTCCCATGAAGAAGTGCCAGGACTCCTCGGGGAAACAGCTGATTTGAACTCTGGGAAAGGAAATGCAGAAGATAAGCCTGGGACCTCCTATGCCTGAAAGTAGCGGAGCTGTCAGCAGCTCTTGGGGCCCTGTCACTGCACTTGGCCAGCACACCCCGTCACACTGGGAAAGGGCAGTGTGAATATCGTAAGGAAGAGTGACTGAGGTCAGCCGACACATATCAAATATCTAAACTCCAGTGAGATCATGATGAGAGTTGAAACTTATGGCCACCTTTGGAAGTTGCTAGAGCACTGATACTTTATGAAAGCAAAGGAATCAGTCACACATTTTACCTTTCTTGTATGGACTGTATTTTGGGAAATCCAAATAAATTGGTTTTTTTAATTCTGTAGAATAGTCGCTTCTAATAGCTGCTGGAGGAATGAATCACACCTTTGCCATTTTTGCTGCCCCCTTGATTTAATGAACCTCAACAACAAACATCAACGGCTGCTAAAAACCATGATAAGTGCTGCCCCCCACACACCATCAATGAAGTACTCTTACCAGAGAAACTGAACTTGAATCTCATCCGGCCTTGGACCTGGCTGCCAACGTGGTAGAACCTGTCAGCATCAGGGAAGACCACCGAATCCAGAATGTAGGAACCGCCACAGAACAAGGGACTGTCTCCACAATAGACAAATGGCATGGGGGAGAAAAAGAGGAAACTGTTAGAAACTGAGAGGTTTAGGAGACCTGACACATCCAATATTGTGTTGGAATGATCATGGTATTGTACTTAACAAGATTTTTAAAAATCTTATATTTATTTTTAAAAAGATTTTTAACATTTACTTTGGGGCGGGGCGTGGGTAGGGAAAGGGATGTTATCAGCTCAGAGCCCAATGCAGGGCTTTATCCCACAAACTCAGGTTGTGACTTGAGCTGAAATCAAGATTCAGATGCTTAACTGAGCCACCCAGGTCGCGCGCGCCCCCCCCCCCCTTTTTTTAATCTTTTAGAGTTAGATGCTGAAATATTTACAGATGCAGTAGTCTGACTGGGGTTTGCTTTAACGTTACCCACGCCACCCACATCCCCCAACAAGTAGGTGGGAATAGGTAAGACCCCAGCAGAAAGGTGGTAGTGGTTGAAGCTGGGTTTTGTTGGGTACACAGGAAGGAGTTCCTTGTGATTCATTAAAATTCCCATAGTAACATTAGCAGCAGTAATTCCCTGTGCAGGGATAAAATGGTGATCAGTACCTTAAAAATGGAACCCTGATTACTGGCTGGGATTTGCTGTGTCCTCTTGAATACTCTGGTCCTCTAAGCTCATCCAGGAGGGCACTGGGAAGAGCTGCTGAACTGCATGTCTTCGCTGATGGAAATGTCATTGGCTGCCCCGCTGTCCTGGGTGCAGATGTGTTCAGAGAATGGATGTCTAGTTGCTTAACCACCACAAGGGACTAGAAATTCTCCTCTCCACCTGTGTTGTTGAGGATGCACTTAAAGTAAAAGAGATCTTGGTCTAAAAAGAAAATATACCAAAAAACACATTCATTCCAGAGTACTCCTATAAACATGGAGTGTATTTCATATCATGAGAAAGAAGTATTTTTTAAAAATTAGTTAACTTCCCCCCCCCCCCAAATGAACTACTTCAGTATGAATGTAGCAAAGGACTGCATGCTGTATATGAAGAAAACTCTAAAACTGATGACAGAAGTCAAAGAAGATGTAAATGAGAAGTATTCCAGGTACAGAGATAGACTCAGCATCATCAAGATGTCAGTTCTTCCCATCCTGATGTGTGAATGGAACTCCATGCAGCCCCATTCACAATCCTAGCCAGTTATTTTGTGGATATTGACAAACTGGTTGTGAGTTTATATGGAGGCAGAGGCCCCAGCGCAGCCGACACGGTGCTGAAGGAGGAGAGCCGGAGGAATGACGCCACCCAGCTCCAAGGTAGTTTAGTTACAGTCGTCACCACAGTGTGACACCAGTATTAGTAGTAGACAGAATGCAGAGTCCAGAAAGGGGCGGGGATGATTCAATGAAGACAGCATGGAGCCTGCTTGGGATTCTCTCTCCCTCTCTCTGCTCCTCCCCTGCTTATGCTCCCTCTCTCTCAAAATAAATAAACATTTTTAAAAAATAAAATGAGCTATCAAGCCGTATAAGACACGGAGAAAACTTAGAAGCGTATTTCTGAGTGAGAAGACCATCTGAAAAGACCAAAGAATCCAACTCCGACATTCTGGAAAAAGCGAAACTATGGAGACAGTGAAAAGAGCAGTGGTTGCCAGGAGTTGGGGAGCGGGTGGGATGAATGGGTGGAGCACAGAAATTTTAGGTCAGTGAAAATACTCTATGGTACTAATGATGCATATGAGGCCTACATTTGTCAACACATACACTGTACAACGTCAAAGGTGAGCCCTGATGTAAACTGAACTTGAGTCAATAATAATGTGTCAGCAATGGCTCATCACTTGTAACAAGTGTACCACCCAATGCTAGATGTTAATAATTTAAGAGAAGGGGGCAGGGAGTATATAGGAACCTCCTGTACTTTCTGCTCCTTTCTTCAAACCTCAAAGTACTTTGAAACCTTTTTTTTAATTAAAAAATTAACCTTAATTTAGGCAATGCACTTGTAGTGAGAATGTCTTGAATTTAGGTCCATCTTAAAAAGTCTTGTTCTTTGATTTTTAGGATGCCTTAGACCGGTTTACCTTTTGTTGAGGTAGTAATTCTTTTTTCGTTCACTGGAGAATTATTGTGGACTGAAGCTGCTGATAGTTCTAAATGGTTCAAGTGGAATAAGAAATTAACTCTCAGGGGCATCTGGATGGTTCAGTGGGTTTGGCTTAGGTCATGATCTCCCAGTCTATGAGGTCTAGCCCCGCATCAGGCTCTGTGCTGACAGCTCAGAGACCAGATCCTGCTTCAGATTTTGGGGTCTGTCTCCCTGCCCCTCCCCCATTTATGTGCATGTGCACGCTTTCTCTCGCTCAAAAATAAAAATTTTAAAAAACTAAAGAAAAAAGAAAGCAACTTTCAGAATTTCACTCTGGTTTTTGTTGGGGTTTTTTTGAGAAACTACTTTTTCCTTATTCCAGTAATGTCATCTTCCTGACGAATTAGGAGTATTGAGATCATAGTTTATTTAAAATTTTTAGATGAGGAAAGGTATTTTTTTTTTTAATGTGTATTCAGAACATGAGCGGGGGAGGGGCAGAGCGAGAGAGGGACACAGAATCCGAAGCAGGCTCCAGACTCTGAGCTGTCAGCACAGAGCCCGATGCGGAGCTCGAACCCACAAACCACGAGATCGTAACCTGAGCTGAAGTCCGACGCTCAACCGACTGAACCACCCAGGTGTCCTGAGGAAAGGTGGCTTTTTATTCTCAGTCTTCATTTATTTCACCAGATAATAAATGGGTCCTCTGTCCTCTCTTAGCTGCAGGACTCATGCACACGTTCAATGCCCACGCTGCCACTGACATCACGGGCTTTGGAATTTTGGGCCACGCACAGAACCTGGCCAAACAGCAGAGGAATGAGGTGTCCTTTGTGATTCACAACCTTCCCGTCCTGGCCAAGATGGCTGCTGTGAGCAAGGCCTGTGGAAACATGTTCGGCCTCATGCATGGGACCTGCCCGGAGACCTCAGGTACAAGGATACTGGGCCCAGATCTGAGGACTAAACTAGTGAGGCTAACGGAAATTTCCCTGACAGGAAAGCAGCCAGGTACTTGGGCATGACCCCACTTAGCGTGAGGTCGGTGCTGGTAGATAACCGTGGCCTTCTTAGCACGAACGTTCTCAGGCCCCTCGGATGCTGTAGGTCACCCGTCTCCTGCCATTCTGTGTGTGACGAGAGGAGCATTAAATTCCGTGTTTCTGTTTGGTGACAGGATGGAAGGTGGGGAGAATGTGGGAAAAGGAGTCATTACTCAGCTGTCTTTGAAACTTAGCATTTGCATTAACTGTGATACATACAGGTTACGTTGAACAGGCTATATTTTTCCTTGAAGAAAAAGTCTAAAATTGGAATTTTAGGAATAAGAGTATTTTATGTCTCCCGGTGCCCCTTACCTTGATGCCTGCATTTCATCCTATACGTCCTGTCTTTTTTCAGCTTTTCTTATTTCTTTCTTATTGCTAACTCAGGAGTTTCCCTACCCTGCGAAAAGGGTCAGATTCTCTGGGCATTTAAAAATACCAATGGCTTCTGGTGCTCCTTGGCTCAGTCGGTTAAGGGTCTCTTGGTTTTGGCTCACGTCCATGATCTCATGGTTCATGGGTCTGAGCCACATCGGGCTCTTCGTTGACAGTGTGGAGCCTGCTTGGGCTTCTCTCTCTCTCTCTCTCTCTCTCTCTCTCTCTCTCTCTCTCTCTCAAAATAAGTAAATAAAAACTTAACGAAAAAATACCAGTGCATACACCTGACCCCCCCAGTAAGCCTGATTAAGCCAGTCTGCGGGTAGGCCTGGTCAGCAGTAATTCTAACAGTGCACCCAGAGGATTGCGGGGTGCAGCCAGCGGCGAGGACCCCAGAGCCTGCCCATGTGTCAGCTCTGTAAGAGGACTTGCAGTTCTCTGGTAGGCCTCCCACAGCCTCTATAGAGGACTTTCAGTTTCCTGTCTAAATCCATTTTCTAGAAAAAAAATTCCAAGAGCGCAAGTGAACTGTTGGTTCAGTGTCTGGCCAGAATAGTGCCTGGCATCTAGCGGGCCACTTAGTGCCAGCGGATGAGCCACTGATGCCACCTGGTGGGCCTGGAGTAAGTGTTGAATGAATTTCTATCTTCGCTACTGACCTATTGATGAAGGTTTTTATAACATATTTTATGCTTTTTTTATTTTGAAGATGACAGAGCCCGGGACAGGACCTAGATGCTCTGAGGCATACACTCCCTTCATGATCTTAAGTTTTAAGTTAAAAAAAAAAGCTTAAAAAGCGCTTTTTGTAAAATGAGGAAATCCACGTAGAAAAGAAAAAAAGGAAAAGTTCTCTTTTGGTTTTAAATATTTCAGTGTAGCAAGAAAAAAGTAGCTGCCACATATATTATTGAGGCCTCAAATACCTTACTTCTATGCTACCCAGTGTTAAAGGAGTCACACGCAGCTCATTTTCACTGTTTAAAGTTTGTTGTGTGCTTTTAATATAGTAGTTTACTAAGAAGTCGCTAATTGCTTGGCAGTTTAATCTGTGGGATTCCCAGTTGACTGGAAAGGGCGGCTCTTGTAGAGACAGAAGAGAGTTGGTGGCTGAACGGCATCTTGGTGGAAGCGTAGTGGAAGACCGGAAGCGCTGTGGAAACACGGGAAGCGCAGTAGAAAGACCGTGGCAGAGCCCTGAAGATAATCCTTTTTTTTTTTTTCTTTTTTTTTTTCTCTTTGCCAGGAGGCCTCCTAATCTGTTTACCGCGTGAGCAAGCTGCTCGATTCTGTGCAGAGATAAAGTCTCCCAAATACGGGGAAGGTCACCAAGCATGGATTATTGGGATCGTAGAGAAGGGCAACCGCACGGCCAGAATCATAGACAAGCCCCGGATCATCGAAGTCGCACCACAGGTGGCCACTCAGAACGTGAACCCCACCCCGGGGGCCACCTCTTAATCTAGACCCAACTAGCTATTTGGTTTTGTTTTTAAATAGATCTATTTCATTTTTCATCATTTCAATTAAAGACTATAAACAACTACAAAAATCTCATTGTGTCTACACATCTGGTGACCTTAGGTCGATTTGTGAGTGGATGCAATTAATAAAATAAAATCCATTGCCTTTTTTTCCTGTTACATTAACTGAAGATGCACCTAATCTTGAGGCAGCTTCTGAGTTGAGAATTATATTGTTATCCAATACTGTTGATTCATTTTGAATCTTTAGACACTTATCTCTTGCCGCATAGGCTCTTTTTAAAGGTGCTTTCACGTAGCACAGACATTACCAGTCGTGGTGTCAAATAGCAGTTGGTGTCTTTTCATTTTGTGTGTATTTATCGTTCTCGGTCTGGTCTTTTTTTAAGTGTCTTGAATGGGATTCTGGAAAGATGGAATTGGTAAGTGACACAGTGGTAGCCCGGTAGCGAGAGGATTGCGTGGTTCCTTCCAGTCTTTGATTTTTAAAGCCCGGTCTCCTCATTCGAGAGCATCTCTTTGACCCAGGACATTTTCCCAATAGTGCATTCAGTTAAACAAGGCAAGTGCTTAACTCTGCATGGAAAGCACTTTGAAGACAAAAAAGAAATCTGATTTCTTTTTTGTAGCCTTCCTAATATTTACAGTAATACCATTAACTGTCTTCTTTATTGACAGCAAAAAAGGATTCTTTTTGCAATGTAATTAGATGTTCTATAGAGCAACAAGGAATTGCCTCCCTAAAGGGGGTTCATGTATAATACTCATTTACAATTCAATATATAATTAACTACACAAATAATTTTTAAATATAATCCATAATAAAGACTGTTCTGTGGATGGTAGTGTTTAATACATTTTATATTTTGTATAGTGATTCAGGCCTCTTGTTTTCTTAAAATCAGCAGTTATTCAGCCTAATTCTTAGCATTATTTTGTCCTTGGCGCCAGTATATTTTCGTGCACGCTTTCTGTGATCTGTGTTAAAAACCTGCATTGCCAACATTGCAGCTTGAACTTAAACTTGTTATTCAAATAAATATTTAATTTTTTTTTTATTGCTCTTGTATAATCAGATGCCCCCTTTAGTATTATTTTAGAAGCGTTGGGAGGGTTTTGGCTAAAAGTACAATTTATTGGGGAAAACTAGATTTTAGTTTTATAAAACTTTTAAGTCTTTCATGGGACCTATATTTTCTTGAATTAAATTTTGTAGTTCTAGAACAAATAGGTGATCTAAAAAGGTGTTTATCTGTGTTACTTAAAAACAGAGGCTTCCTTCTGTCTTAACCCACCAAACAGTAAGGAGGGGATTGCTCTCATTAAGCACAAGTGCACTGACGGCTCAAGTGTCTGCCTAAGAGAAAAAGCACCCCCGTCCCTGCAAGTTTCTGAATGCCTCCTGCTTACAGGCACCCAAGCCGTGAGAACAGCCCCTCTTCTTGCCAAAGGAAACCACCCCTCAAGAGAGGACGCCCCCGGAAGAGGCTTCACCGTGGATGCGCCCTCCGCCCGGAGCCAGAGGGCAGCCGTTTTGCGGGCATGACTGGAACTCAAGCCATACGTGCGGGTGTGCGGGACCTCAAGGGCCGCTAAGGAACTGACACTGATTGGACGTTTTCTAGGGATTTATACAGATGTTGGTCCTCAAAAGCTACAAACCAGTGGTCTACAAAATAAAATGTGTTGGAAACCTCTGAGTAAGGTGAACATACTGTTGAGCTTTTTTTTTTTTTTTTTTTTGATAGACCAGTGATCACTAAATCTGAATTCTTTTTAAAGTTGATCATGTCTTGAATGCTTATGATTTCCTTGGTGGTGGGCCTACTGAGAGGAAGTGAGCTAATCGGATTATATACCTGAGGATATCTTCATGGAGGAGACTCATGGTTAGAAAATGCTGGGTACAAGGAGGTCCATGTAATTCATGTGATCTTGGGGAGGAAGGACTGGTAAAAAAGCTGGGTTTCCGAGAGAACATTCCAGATAACCTGCACTAGGATCACTTGGAGATGCTTGTCACATGCCCTACCCCAGATTCTGGTGGACTAGGGAATCTATCTTTCATAGGCACCCCCAAGTGGCCACTTACAGGGAGGTTAGATCTAAAGGGGTGTCAGGAAGGGCCGGGGGAGGCGAAGGAAGGAAGGAAAGGAGCTGCTTTCACAATATGCTCTTAAAGGAATTTTTCTTCCACTTTTGGCCACTCTGTTTTTTGCCATCTGGGCCCCGCAAAACCCAGACCAACCCAAATATTTTGAAATTTCCTTGAAGGACCAAGTGATTGGATTTTTGACTTCTTAGCAAAATCTATGTAAATAATCTTCAAATTTGGTGAAGAGTTAACAGACAATACTTTGGCTTCCTGGTAGCCCTTTAACACTTCACATTGACCTTGGGTACAGTGATTTATTTTCCTTAAATCCTACGACGCAGTTGCATCCAAAACTACAGCTTGTTAAAATACACAGGATTGTTTCATACAGCCTGGAGAGGCTGGGCCCTGGTGAGGTAGGTCAGTTATTCCCTCGGGCAACAGGAGTCACTTGCCCGGGAATATCAAAGCCTCGCTTGTTATTTGCACAGGCTGTGTTGAAACATTTACTGTAATTCTGTCCAGGAAGAGAAACTGAAATATTGTGTAAGCAATATGTACTTTTCGGCTAAATGTTTTTTAAATCGCTTAGTATATTGTAGTCTCCAAGTTCTGCATGCCTTCTGATGAATAAACACGAGTGTTTTAAGTTGTTCTCATTTTAGACGTATGAGCCTGCGGTTTCTGCCTGAATTTAGTGTTGCCTTTAAAAGAGTTCTATCTGAATTCTAAGTCTTACAGTCTTGCTTTGTAAAGAGAGACCAGAATAGCTATATGATACTATACTTTTTTTTTTTTTTTCAGAATAAAGCAAGCATAGATAATGATGGTTCAGATACTTAAATATCTTGTGTGTGAGTGTGTGTAGAGAGATCTCTCTCTACCTCCTTGTGCTCATTTCCCATACTCAACACCCTTATTCTCTAGATGAGGTAATGGTTACATAGACAATATAACTTAGTTTCAATAGTAATTTGTACCTTTTCTCATTAAATGTCTCCATGAGTGATGCAATTTAAAAAAAAATTGTTTACTTTTGAGAGAGAGAGTAAGCAGGGGAGGGGCAGAGAGGGACGGAGACCCAGAATCCCAAGCAGGCTCCAGGCTCTGAGCTGTCAGCACAGAGCCCCAAGCAGGGCTTCAGCTCACAAGCCATGGGGATCATGACTTGAGCTGAAGTTGGACACTCCACCAACTGAGCCACCCAGATGCCCATGAATGATGAAATTTTTAAACGTGCCAGGGTCCACGTGGAAAACCAACAGATTCAAGTAACCTATTCTCAAAAGTGCAACATGGGAATATCCCTGCTTCTGCTTGGTCCAGCCTCCTTCAACCTAAACGTGGTTCAATGAAGTGAACCGTGGTTTCGCTCAGCCTTCATTGAGTGAAGCCATCGGTAGGACGGGGTGATCATTCATGGATGTCTGGGTGCACTCAGGAGTTGCTAGCATCCAAGCTGGCCCGTGGCTTTCAGTCAGTCGGTGGACACTGGGTGAGCAGGTCTTGGACCTGTTCTCCGCAGGGTTTCCTGGATTCCCTCTAAGTTACATGTTTGATGTCCAACTCTGGGTTCACAGTTGATGCTTTTGCTGGTTTCGGATTCTCCTGCCAGTCCTCTTGCTTGTGGAGGGGGCTTCCTGCTTGGAGGACTGCATCTAATGGAGCCCATCAAAACTTTGTGGAAGGAACTAGAAAATCCACTCCACCAGTGGTCTGGGTGCAGAAGAGCCAATGTATTTTGTGCTCTATATTTCAAGAACGGAAGCATATGCACATAGAAGTTGATGGAGATCTATGAAATGGTAAGTTAATTATCAAGTCCTATATTTTGTCTAGTTCCTAAAGGAGAATTGTATAAAACTGATGTCTAGAACATGGCCCTGCTTTGGTCCATTTTGAAAACTTAAAATTCTAGTAGTCCAGTCCCACTCTGCTGCCCATGCTATGCTCACCACATCTGTCACTATATAACACTATCACAACACCACTGTATTCCACATGCTGTGCCTTTCACCCCTGTGTCCTGCCCTTTCCGTAACTGGAAGCTTGTACCTCCCATCCCCCTTCAGCCCGCCTAGCCCACCCTTTCCTCTGGACACTTGTCAGTTCTCTGTATTTATGGGTCTGCTGCTGCTTTTAGTTTGTTTTAGAGTCCACACAGAAATGAAATCATATGGTATGTCTTTCTCTGACTGCACTTAGCATAGTACTCTCCAGGTCCATCCATGAGCCCTCCGGTTTTTATTTTTTAAAGAAAAGACTGGAGGGGTGCCTGGGAGGCTCAGTCGATTGAGCATCCGACTTCGGCTCAAGTCATGATCTCTTGGTTCATGGGTTAGACCCCCATGTCGGGCTCTTAGCTGACAGCTCAGAGCCTGAAGCCTGCTTTGGATTCTGTGTCTCCCTCTCTCTCTGCCCCTCTGCCTGCTCATACTCTCTCACTCTCAAAAATAAACATTAGGGGCGCCTGGGTGGCTTAGTCAGTTAAGCGTCCGACTTTCGCTTAGGTCATGATCTCGCAGTTCGTGGGTTCGAGCCCCGCGTCAGGCTCTGTGCTGACTGCCAGCTCAGAGCCTGGAGCCTGTTTCAGTCTGTGACTCCCTCTCTCTCTGACCCTCCCCTGCTCATGCTCTCTCTCTCTCTCTCTCCTAGAAAAAAAAAATAAATAAATAAATAAATAAACATTAAAATTTTTTTTTAAATAAAGGCTAGATCTTATTTCTAGTACATTAAGAAATAATACAAAGTAGTCATGGGGCACCTGGGTGGCTCAGTCAGCTAAGTGTCTGACTCTTGGTTTCAGCTCAGGTCATGATCTCATTCATGAGCTCGAACCCTGCATCAGGCTCCATACTGGTAGCACAGAGCCTGCTTGGGATTCTCTGTCTCTCTGTCCCTCCTCTGCTTGTGTCCCCCCCTCCTCAAAATAAATATATAAACATTAAAGGGAGCCTGGGTGGCTCAGTCAATTAAGCATCCATCTTTGGGTCAGGTCATGATCTCGTGGTTCATGGGTTCAGTCCTGCATCGGGGCTCTGTGCTGACAGCTCAGAGCCTGGGGCCTGCTTCAGATTTTGTGTCTTCCTCTCTCTCTGCCCCTTCCCCACTCACACTGTTTCTCTCTCTCAAAAATAAATAAACAACAAAAAAATAATACAAATGAATCAGATACACATCTACAAAGGATTTCTCAAATAACAGAATAAGACCATTAATCTTAGAATAAAATTAAGTATAATATTAACAAGAATTGTGGAGCATCTGGGTGGCTCAGTCTGTTAAGGGTCTAACTCTTGGTTTTGGCTCAGGTCATGATCTCGTGGTTTGTGAGTTAGAGTCCTGCATCAGACTTTGTAATGACAGTGTGGAGTCTGCTTGGGATTCTCTCTCTTCACTTCCCCTGCTCACTCTCTCTTTCTCTCAATATAAATAAATAAAAACTTCTTTTTAAAAACTGTGTACATGGGTCTGCTGTGTGGGGCTGGCAGGGAGGAAGATGTCACAGTCACTGGTTGCCAAGCCCTGTATCCCAGGCCTCCAGGCAGACTGTGGCATAATTTGCTTTCCAGGAGTCCAAGGAAAGCTAGCAGATTGCAGGCAGTAATTTTAGAGAAACGCCCAATCCTCACGTATCTGAATCGTAAAACAGCAGGGAAATTCTGGGCATGACACATCCCTGAGGTATCCTTCCCTCCTTGGGTTTATGGTATTTCCCTGTGGCCCATAAGCTTCCCGACTCACTGTTTTATCCTTCAACTTGACTCCTGGTTCTCAGAGGGTGGAGCTGGCCCCAGTCTCTCCAACTGTCAGGGCCACCATTATGGTCACTTCCCTCCCACTGGTGCCCTCAAAGGGCACAGGTTTTGGGTGGCAGCATCATAGAGCAGATGTGGGGACCCCTGAATCACTGTGCAAATGAGAGTTGCTGACTCACATTAATGGTGACATGATTGGGAAGCAAACTATTTTGTTGTATCACTAAGATTTCAGGATGTACTGGGGTGCCTGGGTGGCTCAGTCGGTTAAGCTTCCAACTTCGGCTCAGGTCATGATCTCACGGTTCGTGGGTTCAAGCCCCACGTCAGGCTCTGTGCTGACAGCTCAGAGCCTGGAGCCTGTTTCAGATTCTGTGTCTCCCTCTCTCTCTGACCCTCCTCTGCTCACGCTGTCTCTCTCTCTCTCTCTATCTCTCTCAGAAATAAATAAAAAAAAACATTAAAAAAAAAAAAGATTTCAGGATGTACTTGTTCCTACAGTATAGCTTAACCTACCTGAATACAGAAATCTAGAGGCGAATCACAGAAATGCTGATACCAATGTATACATAGAAGCTTATTCATTCTCACTAGGCAGGCAAGTTATGACAACAATATGAAGTTTTTTTTTAACTTTCATAATTGGCAACGATTTAAAAATGGATAAAGTCCAGGGTTTTCTTTTCAATGCTCATGATTACTGTCAAGTGGTTGAAAAACACAATAAAACTTTTAAGAATTATCTGTAATAAGTCCAGAGAGTAGAATGGTGGTTGCCAGGGGCTAGAATAAGGGAAATTGGCAGATATTGGTCAAAGGGTACCAACTATTTTTTTTTTAGCATTTATTTTTGAGAGATAGACAGAGAGACAGAGTATAAGCCAGGGAAGGGGCAGAGAGAGAGAGGGAGACACAGAATCCAAAGCAGCCTCCAGGCTCTGAGCTGACAGCACAGAGCCCACCACAGGGCTCAGACTCATAAACCATGACATTATGACCTGGGCCAAAGTCAGGCACTCAACCAGCTGAGCCACCCAGGTGCCCCAAAGGGCACCAACTTCTATTTGGAAGATAAATAGGTTCTGGGGATTTAGCATATAAAATAGTAACTATATTAATAAAAATGTATACTTGAAACTTGCTGAGAGTAGACTTCACACACACATACATACAGAGATAACTCTGTGAGGGGTGCCCAGCTGGCTCAGTCAGTAGAGCATACGACTCTTGATCTTGAGGTCATCAGTTTGAGCCTCATGTTGGATGTAGAGAGTAATTAAAAATGAAAATCTTGGGGCATCTGGATGTGATACATATATATATATATACAATGGAGTATTTTTTATAAAAATTTTTAATGTTTTATTTATTTTTGAGAGAGAGAGGCAGTATGAGCAAGGGAGGCTAAGAGAGAGAGAGGGAGACACAGAATCTGAGGACAGGCTCCAGGCTCTGAGCTGTCAGCACAGAGCCCAACACGGGGCTCGAACCCATTAACCGTGAGATCCTGACCTGAGCCAAGGTCAGCGATTAATCGACTGAGCCACCAGGTGCCCTATATACAATGGCATATTATTCGGTGATCAAAAAGGATGAAATCTTGCCATTTGCAACTACAAGGATGGAACTAGAGAGTATTCTGCTAAGTGAAATTAGTCAGAGAAAGACAAATATCATATGACCTCACCCATCTGAGACTTTAAGATACAAAACAGATGAACATAAGGGAAGGGAAGCAAAAATAATATAAAAACAGGGAGGAGGTCAAAACAAGAGACAAATATGGAGAACAGAGGGTTACTGGAGGGGGTGTGGGGGGGTGGGCTAAGGGTGAGGGGCATTAAGGAATCTACTCCTGAAATATTGTTGCACCACATGCTAACTAATTTGGACGTAAATTTAAAAAATAATAAATTTTTAAAAAGGAGTGATTAGATCCAAGAAGGAGTCACAGGAACCGCCCAATCCCCCCAGCCCCCGCCAAAAAAGAAGTGTGCAAAGCCTCGTTGGCTGATTTATCCTCATTTCCTGCTAGATAATTTACCCCCATCCTCTTGACATTCCTCAATCCACACAATCCCATAAGTGACAATTTGTCCTTTCCTCTTCTGCTGGATTTATGCATACCTATATTTGAGATTCTAGTTTGTGCTGAAAGATTGCAGATCTCTCACCACACACCATGGTGGTTCTTCAGACTTGTTTTAATTATGGTTGACATCAGAAATGGGCTTGGAGAAAATATGCTTGCTTCTCTTCGTGTGGAAGTGACTTACAGAAAGTTTGTCTTACAACTCTAGCACACTATTTATATTTGTGCTCTTAGAAATATTTTTATCCTAAAAAATATCTTTATCCTGTTTTTCTTCAAATATTTTCATAAGAGAAGACCGAGATCTTTATGGGACAGATTCTGAAATTGCAATTCAGGTTTAAAGGAATGGAAATGAGTAGGGTTTGTGTGTGTGTGTGTGTGTGTGTGTGTGTGTGTGTGTGTGTGTGATTTTTTTTCTTGTTTCCTTCCTCTCTACCCTGACTTCACCACAAAATACCAGAGATCAGTGCTTCTCAACAGGATAGGAGTGGGGATAGTGAGATGTCATTCACCTGGAAAGATTTTTCCCTGGGTTTAGGGTTCACTCAAATAATCCAAGGTGAATTCATTTTGAGATCCTTAATCATATCTGGCAAGACCCTTTTTTCAAACAAAATTACATTTATGCTTTCCAGGGATTAAGATGACACATATTTTTTATCTTGGTGGTGGGCGGCCATGATTTGGGGGGTTGGTAGGTCAGGAATTCTGTTTTGAAATGTCTGTTAGAAATTCTGGTGATGGGGTGCCTGGGTGGCTCAGTTGGCTAAGGTACCAACTCTTGATTTCAGCTCAGGTCATGATGTCACAGTTTATGAGTTCGAGCTTTGTGTCAGGCTCTACGCTGACTGCACAGAATCTATCGGGATTCTCTCTCTGCCTCTCCTCCACTCAGATGTTCTCTCTCTCAAAATAAACAAATAAACACTATTTGTGTTTATTTAATTTAATTCAGGGTTCTGAGGTCAGAGGTCAGACTGTTTTTTCTTAGCTGCTCCACTATTACTATTATTAAAAATCATTTTCTTTAACTTCTTATACATTTGGAGAAAACTATTCCTTAGGTGGTTTAGAAAATCACTGCGTCTCAATATCTGTCTTCAAGGTTACTTTCAGTGTTTGAGTAAATCAAGCACATTGCTTGAAAGGGAGGGAAAAAGGTAATTTTGAAATAATCTTCAAAATTTCAACTTTAACAGGAAATGAATAAATACCAAATGCTGAAGGAGAAAGAAATTATTCTTGTGATAATGTTTGTGCTCCATTAATGTTCCATTTCAATCATTCCAAGATATTTTTATTTTAATAACACAATTGCTAAAATTGCCTACTTTGGGAATTTCCAAATAATCCAAATTGCTATTTTTTTCAAGTTTATTTATTTATTTTGAGAGATGGGGGGAGGGACAAGAGAGAGGGAGAGAGAGAAAAAGAGAGAGAGACAGAATCCCAAGCTGGCTCTGTGCGTCAGTGTCTAGAGACTGATTCAGGGCTCAAGCCCATGAACAGTGAGATCACGACCTGAGCCAAAACTGAGAGTTGGATGCTTAACCGATTGAGCCAACCAGTTGCCCCCAAAGTGCTATTTTTAAAAATAGTAACATTCATCAAATTACCTCTTTACCTAAGGGGAAATATTGTTTTAATTCCCCATGGGATCTTAAATGAAAAATTTTAAACCCAGCATCCTCTAAATTTAAAAAAAGGCAGATAACAAGTGGACATTCAAGGGGTTCCTTCATGTCTTTTAACAACCATAAACTTTTTAAACATTTTTTAAAAAATGTTTATTTATTTTTGAGAAGCAGAGAGAGAGAGAGAGAGCACAAGCAAAGGAGGGGCAGAGAGAGACACACACACAGAATCAGAAGCAGGCACCAGGCTCTGAGCGTCAGCACAGAGCCCTATGCGGGGCTCAAACCCACCGACTGTGAGATTATGACCGAGCTGAAGTTGGACGCTCAACCCACTGAGCCTCCCAGGCGCCCCAACCATAAACTTTTTAAAAAAAATTTTTAGTGTTTATTTATTTTTGAGAGAGAGAGAGACAAAGTGAGAGCAGGGGAGCGGCAGAGAGAGAGGGAGACACAGAATCTGAAGCGGGCTCCAGGCTTGAGCTGTCAGCACAGGGCCCGACTGGGGGTGGGGGTGGAGGGGGGTCGGGGGGCAGGAGGGGAGGGCTCAAATTCACGGACTATGAGATCATGACCTGAGCTGAAGTCAGATGCGTAACCGAATGAGCCACCCAGGCGCACCAACAACCATAAATTTTAAACACACCCGTTGTAAATGCCTTAGGGTAGGGCAGGGAATTTCACACGCTTGTAAAACGAGGGTATTTGGGGGGACCATTAAAACTACAGGTGTAGGTAGAGTCACCTCACTGTACTTCCCAATGGTCAGGAAAGCCAGTGCCTTTCAGGACCTGTGAAGGTAAAGGCCTTGACCTATAAACAATCTGTGTTAGGGTCAACTTCATTTACATTTTCGTCCTTCTAGCAGTGCTCACTTTCCACCAGGCGAGGGCAGTAAGGAGACACCTATTCACTCATACCCATTCTGATCGTTTCTCTCAGAAGCAGAAAGAAAAGAGATTCTCTTTCCTGTACCTGCCAAAGGCCAAATACTTCATTTTAAACTATGCTAAACATAACTGCCTCTTCTGAAAACTCCTGGAAATCTAATTGACGATTTCAGGGCCAGGTTCCCGCCCTGTGATGATCAATTTGTGGGGGATGAGGCTAAGAGCTAATGAGGGAAGGCCAAAGACATTTCTGTTAGCCTAAAAAAATCTGGGAGTCTTAGTAAGAAGGAGTTATGGAAAAAGAGAGAGACTACAAAGATGAAGGTCACAGAGCAAGCTTTGCTTTGGATGCTTTCTCCTCCCTACCTGAGAGGAAACAGGTAGCAGCTAATAATTCTGAGTCCAGACCTGCTTTTCTCCCTGAGTATGGCAGATTCACCACATTATATAAATATATCACTTAGGAAATGATAACATGTTGAGTGTCGGTGGCTCAGTCAGTTGAGCATCTGTCTGGCTCTCGGTTTCAACTCAGGTCATGATCTTGCAGTTCATGAGTTTGAGCTGGTGTTGGGTTCCACGCTGACAGTGCACAGCCTGCTTGGGATTCTCTCTCTCTCCCTCCTTCTCTTCCTCTTTCTTTCCTCCTCCCCTGCTTGCACTCAATCTCTCTCTCTCTCTCTCACTCAAAAAAATAAAAATAAAAAAGAAATGATAACATGTTTATAGGGTGAGAGATTCTGGAAGTAACTTTAAGACAAAGAAACAATGAGAAAAAGGAGAGAGAAAAAAGAAACAATGAGATGCTATGTCATTCATCTGCAGACTGTGGATGGAAAAGATCTTACAGAAAGAATTCTAGCTCTTATGACCATTATGGAAATCAGTATGGAAGTTCCTCAAAAAAAAAAATTAAAAATAGAACTACCACAGGATCCAGCAATCCCACTTCTGGGTATACATCCAAAGGAATGAAATGAGATTTGGAAGAGACATCGACACTTTAATGTTCAATGCAGCATTCACAGTAGCCAAGATATGGAAACAACCTACGTGTCTGTTCAACAAATGAATGGATAAAGAAAATGTGGTTTCCACATACAATGGAATATGATGCAACCTTAATAAGGAAGGAGATCCTGCCATTGTAACTACATGGACGCAGTTTGCGGGCATTATGGTAAGTGAACTAAGCCAGTCACAGAAGGGCTAATACTACTGATACCACTTCTAGGAGGAGTTTAAGAGTTAAACTCATAGAAGCAGAGAGAATGGTGGTCACCAGGGGTTACAGAAGGGGCATGGAGAGGTGATGGTTTAAGGTACATAGTTTCAGTAGTGATACTACTACATAGTTTTGGAGACCTACAGTACAGCACAGTGTCTATAGCTAACAGTGCCGTGTTATATACTTCACATTTGCTTAGAGAGAAGATCTCATGTTGTGTTCTTACCATAAACACCAAAAATACTGAGCTAAAGAATGTGGGAGAGGTGATGGGTGTTTATGATCTTGATAATGGTGGCTGTATCACAGGGACTTATCCCCAAAGCAATTGAAAAGAAAGGAAGGAAGGAAGGAAGGAAGGAAGGAAGGAAGGAAGGAAGGAAGAAAAGAAAGAAAAAAGAAAGAAAGAAAGAAAGAAAGAAAGGAAGGAAGGAAGGAAGGAAGGAAGGAAGGAAGGAAGGAAGAAAAAGGAGGGAGGGAGGGAGGAAGGGAAAAAAGGAACAGAAAAGGAAAGAAAAGAAAAAAGAACGGAAGGAAGGAGGGAAGAAAGGAAAATAATTTCTAGTTCTTTTTTTATGTGTGTTTTTTAAAAAATTTCTGAGAGAGAGAGAGACAGCGGGAGCAGGAGAGTGTCAGAGAGAGAGGGAGACACAGAATGTGAAGCAGGCTCTGGGCTCAGAGCCCAACTCGGAACTCGAACCCACGAACCGTGAGATCATGACATGAGCCAAAGTCAGACACTTAACCGACCTAGCCAACCGCGCGCTCCAAGAATTTTTAGTTCTTTAGGAAATTTAAAATAATACTAGACCTGGCGGATCAGACGTTACACAGAGTCATTTATTTCATGTACCTTTTAAAAAATTTTATATGTTTCTAATATTTCAGACTGGATTCCCAACATATTAAACGCCCCTTTCGAATAACACATGTTACTTCCAGGGCCGAACACGTGAGTTACTCCTTCAGCAGCACAGTGAAAGTCACGGTCACATGGAAGAAGCCCAGAAACTATGCACTAGGGAATGTGGGTATGTTCTGGATCATGCTCTGGCTCCTTTGTCATTGGACGACCTTACCCCCCTCACTGAGGCCTTCAAAACTCGCTTTCCTGTTCTGTGCGGCAGGGATGACCTTTGTGATCGCTTAGGAGCAGGGCGTGTGGGCAGCACGTCCGCACCGTGCGGTCGCCGAGCGCCGGGGCCTGGGAGGTAGGGGCTTCGCCGCGCAGGCGGGGCGGAAGGGGCGGCCTTCCCGGGAGTCGCCGCAGCCCGGAGTCGGAGTCGCGGCCGAGGCCGGGCTCCCTCGTCCGCTCGCCGGAGCCATGGAGCAGACCCGCGCGGCCGCCCGCCTGCGCACCCTGCTGGGACACCTCGGGAGACCCTCCGCCAGGGCCGCAGTATCCTTTGGGCTGCAAGAGCTGCGGTCTCCAGGGCTCTTCCCCCTCCTCCGCGCCCGCGTCCCCGTCACGGTCACAGCCCTTCCGGGCGCCGGGGCCGAGGGGGCCTCCGCTCGGCTGGAGCCTGGCCGCGCCGGCCTCGGTGGCTGCTGGGGCCCGCTCGGCCATTCCGGGGCCTCCCGGGGCCTCCCGGGGCCTCGCGTTTCCCTGCTGTGCGGGAAGGGAGGCCGGAGGTCCTTACTGAGGGGCCTGCTCTCAGTTGCTTCGGCATTTTCTGCACTTGGCCGCTCGGGACCCGGCCGCCCGGAGCCCGGGAAACGCGAAGCCGGGTGGCCCCGCACACGGGAGAGCGCAGAGCTGCCAGCAGTCAAGCCCGGCGCGCGGGACGGCGGCAGGCGGCAGGGCCCTCCGGCCGGACCCCCGGCCTCCGCAGGTGGGGCCTCCGCGCCTCCCTCCTCCCGGCGCGCTGGGGGTGCCCGCCGACCCCGCTGGCGCACACGCCGCCTCTCCCTCGCGACTTGGCCTTCTCAAGTTCGTCTCCGAGGCGGCGTGTGCGCCGCCGGGGCTGGTTCCAGGACGATGTCACTCTGTGACACGCAAATCCAACTGCTTTATAATTTTAAATTTTTTAATGTTTATGCATGCACAAGTGGAGAAGGGGCAGAGAGAGAGGAAGACACAGAATCCCAGGCAGGCTCCTGGCTCCGAGCTGTCAGCACAGGGCCTGACACAGGGCTCGAGCTTGTGAACTGCAGGATCATGACCTGAGCGGAAATTGGAGGCTCAACCGACTGAGCCACCCAGGCGCCCCCTCCAACTGCTTTAGAGAATTGTTTCTCCTGCTCAGATTCAGTGTCCTCATGCAGGGGGCAACTTTTGGAAGCGTGTGGAAGAACACTGCCTGGGATTTTTCCTTACCGGACGTGGTTAGGCCCCCCAGTGGGCCGCCCTGTCCAATACAACTTTCCGTGTTGGTGGGAATGATCGTGTATACCAGCACTGTCCAGTATAGTTAGTAGCTGCTAGACACATGTGCCCCGTTGGGCACTTGAAATATGGCTAATGCAGGTTTCATTTTATTCTCTTCCATTTAAATAGACACGGCGGGGGGCGCCTGGGTGGCTTAGTCGGTTAAGCGTCCGACTTTCCGACTTTCGCTTAGGTCATGATCTCGCGGTTCGTGGGTTCGAGCCCCGCGTCGGGCTCTGTGCTGACTGCCAGCTCAGAACCTGGAGCCTGTTTCAGTCTGTGACTCCCTCTCTCTCTGACCCTCCCCTGCTCATGCTGATTCTCTCTCCTAGAAATAAATAAAACAAAAAATAAATAAATAAATAAATAAATAAATAAATAGACATGGCGGCCCCTGGGTGGCTCAGTCGGTTAAGTGCTGGGCTCTTGATTTTAGCTCAGGTCATGATCTCATGGTTTATGAGTTGGGGCCCCACATTAGGCTCTGAGCTGGAAGTGCAGAGCCTGCTTGGGATGGTCTCTCTCTCTCTCTCTCTGCCTCTCCCCTGCTCTCTTTCAAAAATAAAGGTCAAAAAATTTAATTTTATTTGCCTTAATTCACATACTAGATAGCTCACTTCACCTCAGGGGCTGTTTCTCCAACCAGTTTCCATCCTCCACAATTCCAGTAAGTAGAGCTAATTTTCATTTTTAACCATAAAATGTATATAAAGCTTTTTCTAGTGCTAACTAAGATATAAAATACAATATATCATGTTGCCTGGTGAAAATTCATTATACAAATCCTCTGTTGCTAGGACCTGTTTTAATTAGAACTGTGGAAAATTGTGAAGACCTGGACTTTAATTTTTATATATACTTTAAAATTTGGAAAAGAGAAAAAATATATCAGAAATGTATAATCTGATTTTTTCCCTTCAAATTCAGGCATGGTATACTTCATATAGGTTAGCTTGTAGTCTGGTCATATTGCTCTATTAGCTAGTGTCTTTGGTTTATCTTAAATTACCTTAGTAGGGGAAGACATTGATCTCCATAGAAGATTCTCAGAGAGCCACAATTCTGATCTACAAAAATGGACTGGGTGATTTGGGTTTGTGCGTATGCTGTACACTTATTTGGATTTTGTCACTTTGACTTTCTCTGAGAATGTATGATCTAGACAATCTAAAATATAAAATCTATTGAACCTGTTTCCCATCTGAAAAACCATACATATTCATTACAGAACAAAAATTTTTAAATCACAGGGGCGCCTGGGTGGCTTAGTCGGTTAAGCGTCCAACTTTCGCTTGGGTCATGATCTCGCGGTTCGTGGGTTCAAGCCCCGCGTCGGGCTCTGTGCTGACTGCCAGCTCAGAGCCTGGAGCCTGTTTCAGTCTGTGACTCCCTCTCTCTCTGACCCTCCCCTGCTCACGCTGTCTCTCTCTCTCCTAGAAATAAATAAAACATTTAAAAAAAATTTTTTTAAATCACAGAAACAAAAGGAATTAAGAAAAAACCATCCACAAATCCATTACGTAGAGGCAATCACTTTTTTTTTGTATTTCTTTGCATTTTTTACAGGTAGTAAAAAATTTGGTTTTACACAAGTCTAACCATATATTATTGTAATAAGCATCCCTATTATATGCTCTTCATTTTTTAAAAGAACTTTTAATGTTTATTTATATTTGAGAGAGAGAGAGAGAGACTGTGCGAGCAGGGGAGGGGCAGAATGAGATACAGAGACAGAATCTGAAGCAGGCTCCAGGCTCTGAGCTGCCAGGATAGAGCCGGCCCTGTGTGGGGCTCAAACTCACGAACCGTGAGATCATGACCTGGACCGAAGTTGGACGTTTCACTGACTGAGCCAGCCAGGCGTCCCCCTCTTCATTTTTAATGCCTGAATCATATCTCATTAAGTGGATATAATTAATTTTTCTCCTATTTTTTGGTACAGTATTTCATGCTTTGGATTTAAACCTTTTTAAAAAATACTCAGATTAGAGGCACCTGGCTGGCTCAGTTGGAAGAGGATATGACTCTTGATCTCAGGGTCATGAGTTTGAGCCCCACAACAGGTATAGACATGACTAAAAAAAAAAAAAAAAACCTTAAAAAAAAGCCCAAAGACATGTTTTAAAAACTGTTTAGATTATTTTCTTAGAGTAAATAAAAAATAGAAATGCCAGTTGGAAAAGTATGAACATCTCTCAGGTTCTTGACACATATTGTTGGGTTGGGATTTTAAGTTGGACTTATTTGAGATTTTTTTTTCTCCCTAAGGTATACTCAGGATAATGATGTTCTAAGCCTAGAACAGAGAAAATTTTATGAAGAAAATGGGTTTCTCGTCATTAAAAATTTGGTATCTGATGCTGATATTACACGCTTTAGGTACAGTAACTCTTTGTTCTTTTACAGAAAGATGTTATATGTATACAAGGAGAATCTGAATAAGATTAGCGTGTGCATGTTCAGATCATTCTCGGTGATTGGTTCTCAAGGAAGTGGTTAGGAGCATGAACTCTGGAGCCAGACTGGTTGGCTTTAATCTGAGCCCTACTACTTAATGTCGTATGTCCTGGGCCAACTTACTTTCCATGCCTCTGTTTTCACATCTGTAAAATGGGTATGGTAATAGTATTTCTGCCCTAGTGGTGTTGTGAGGACTGAATAAGGCAAAATACACAGAGAGTACTTCAAAAGGGGCCTGGCCCATGGGAAGTGTGAGAGAAGTGTTTGCCATTATTACCTAGATGTTGCCAAATCAGATTTTTCCCCACTGTTCTGTTAGGCTAAGATATATTTGAGTTCCAGCACTGGATTCTGGTCTCACAGTGGGAGGCAAGGGCTTTTGAGTTGGCCTTTTTCTCCGCCTCCACCCGTCCTCAGAACTACTCACCCTGGACTGGAGGTCAACCTGGCGCACAGAAACCACCCCCTCCATCTTTGAGAAGCTTCCCACAGAATGGGCCAGGCAGGTGCTTGGAGCCTGCAGTGATGATGTCTTCTGCCAATTTAATCTTCCAGGAACCAGTTTGAAAGAATCTGCAAAGGGGAACTGAATGTCGAAGGGATGTCGATAATGAAAGATGTAACCACTGAAAAATCAAAGTTTATTTGGAGTGAAAACTTGATTACAAAGGTCCAGGATTTCCAAGGGGATGAGGAGCTCTTCAGATACTGCACGCTCCCTGAGGTTTGAGACCTTCCTGCATTTTCTTTTTCTTTCAGTTAACAGCCCACCTGCATGCTTGCCTCCGGAGTTGCTGCTTTTTAAATTTTTTTATATGATGTGTTTTTTATTATTTATTTATTTATTTATTTATTTATTTATTTATTTATTTATTTAGAGAGAGAGGGAACAAGGAGACAGAGTCCGAAGCAGGCTCCAGGCTCTGAGCCATCATCACAGATCCTGACGCGGGGCTCGAACCCATGGGCCCTGAGATCATCACCTGAGCCGAAGTCGGACGCTTAACCGACTGAGCCACCCAGGCGCCCCTGGAATGGGCAGACATTTGGCAGTACCTGCAGCCAGGTTGGGGGGGTGTGCTCCTGGCTTCTGATGGGCAGAGGCCAGGGATCCTATAAAATAGTCTCCTTGCCCCCAAAATAATGATCTACCCATCCCCCAAAGTCAGCAGTGCCTGCTCTGGAGTCTGGTAATTATCGCTGGTCGAGAAGGGCAGGACCTCTGTGTTAGAGACACCCTCTCCCCATCTCAATATGGGCCTATCAGCCGGAGTGACAGCCCGGAGGCTATTCACTATACATACATTGATTTTGTGCTTTTTGTTCTGTGAATCTGGTCCATAAAGGTTTAAGTTTATGTTTAGATTTAAACTTTTTTTTTTTTAATTATTACTCAGGGCACCTGGGTGGCTCAGTCGGTTGAACGTCTGACTTTGGCTCAGGTCATGATCTCACGGCTCGTGAGTTCAAGGTCTGCATTGGGCTCGCTGCTGTCAGCACAGAGCCCGCCTCGGATCTTCTGGCCTCCTCTTTCTGCCCCTCCCCACTTGCATGCTCTCAAAAATAAAGAAAAACCAAAAAATTATTACTCTTTAACTAATATTGATGAAGATAGCACGTAGTACAGACAGGCATAAAATGAAAAATAAAGGCTCCCACTCCCTGACCCCGCTTACTGCTGAGCTTTTTGCTGTATTCGTCGGGAATTCTTTCATGGGTATGAAGTGCGTCTGCACACCTTCCCTTTTGTAACATGGGAACGTTCTGGTTGTCTCCGTGTCTTTTTCCACTTCTAGTAGATCTTAGACATCTTTCTATATCACCTATCTACTAATCTATATCATGCTTTGCTTTGTTTATTTTTAAAGTTGTAATTATTTAAGTAATCTCTACCCGCAATGTGGGGCTAACGCTCACCACCCAAGAGATCTACAGACTGAACCAGGAAGGTGCCATGAGCTATATCATACTTTTAAACTACTGCCTGGAATCCTGTTACATAAAGGTACCATAGCTTATGAATCATTTATTTAGAATGCTTTCAAAGGACACTTTTTAAAAAAAATTTTTTTTTTAATGTTTTATTTATTTCTAGGAGAGAGAGAGACAGCGCGAGCAGGGGAGGGGCAGAGAGAGAGGGAGACACAGAATCTGAAGCAGGCTCCAGGCTCTGAGCTGGCAGTCAGCACAGAGCCCGACGTGGGGCTTGAACCCACGAACTGCGAGATCATGACCTAAGCGAAAGTCGGACGCTTAACCGACTAAGCCACCCAGGCGCCCCTCAAAGGACACTTTGTATAATACTTGTTAGAGATTATAAGCCCAAGTGGTGTTAGAAAATTTGCCTCATGGGGATGCCTGGCTGGCTCAGTTGGTAAAGGGTCTGACTCAGATTTCAGCTCATGATCTCATGGTTTGCAGGTTTGAGCCCCACTTTGAGCTCAGTGCTGACAGCGCAGAACCTGGTTGAGATTCTTTCTCTGCCCTTCCCTTGCTCACACACACACTCTCTCTCTCAAAATAAACACACATTAAATTTTTTAAAAAATCTTTAAAAAAAAGAAAATTTGCCTCATGAGAAAAGACTGTACAGGTAAGCCACCTACAATGTCCAGGCCCTTTGGGTTGGAGACTAGAGGGGGCGTGGCCCCTCTGAACCATCCATTCTTCTCAATGTCAAGTCCTGCTCTGGAAAGAGAAGTTGTGAGCTGGGATCAAGGAGGAAAAACTTGAAATTAGTGGCAACTTGTGGTAGTTTGAGCACGACCAGGACTTCCAGGTTTCCACCTCTCTAAAGTGTGAAGCAGGCACCTGCTGCTTCATGCAGTGAGTTTTGGGAGGTAGGCATGATTTTAGTAGTTAGGTGTGCATTGGAGAAAATAACGAGCACATCAAACCTACAACTTCAAGAATATTATTAAATTTAAAAAATTTTTGTTTTATTTTTGAGAGAGAGAGCACAAGCAGGGGAGGGGCAGAGAGAGAGGGGGACAGAGGATCCAAAGGGCTCTGCACTGACAGCAGAGAAGTCAAACGCTAAGCCAAAGTCAGATGCTTAACCAACTGAGCCACCCAGGTGCCCCAAGAATACGATAAATCAAGGGGCACCTGGGTGGTTCAGTCGGCTGAGTGTCCAACTCTGGATTTTGGCTCAGGTCATGGTTTCACGTATGTGGGATCAAGCCCTTCGTTGGGCCTACTTGGGGTTCTCTCTCTCTTTCCCTTCCTTCACTTGTGCACTCTCTCTCTCAAAAATAAATAAGCAGTAAGAAAAGAGTATTATTATTAATCAGAATAAGACATGAGTTAATTTAGAAAATTACTGGCTAACTATATTGAACAGTTCTATAAACTATGACAGAAATGGTGACATGGCTCTTGAGTCTGAGGTTTAGAAAATACTGGTCTGGGGTACCTGGCTGGCTTAGTCAGTAGAGTGTGTGACTCTTGAAATTGGGGTCATGAGTTTGAGCCCCACGCTGGGAGATGACTTAAAAAAGAAAATACAGGTCTAAGGGAATACCAAAGGGGCACCTGCATGGCGTAGTCGGTTGGGCGTCTGACTTCAGCTCAGGTCATGATCTCACAGCTCATGAGTTAGAGCTCCCCATAGGCCTCTGTGCTGACAGCTCAGAGCCTGGAGCCTGCTTCGGATTCTGTCTCCCTCTCTCTCTGCCCTTCCCCGGCTCACACCCTGTCTTCTTCTCCTTCAAAAATAAATACTAAAAAAAAAAATTTCAGGGAATACCAAAGAGTGACACACTTTATAAAACAAATACGGGGCCTGACTCCTAGGATTTGAGCATTTCATGCTCAGACTGCCAGTATCCGTTATACAGAAAATCAAATAGTGAGAAAGTGCTAGAGAATGCTTCATTTTTTGGAGTCTGGACAAACTGGAGAGTGAAGACCATCTTTTTCATTTGCACGGCCACCTAGGCCAGTTTCTGAGCCCCAGGCTTAAACGTGTGGGGCGTTCACTTTAAAGGATGATTCATTCATGGGGGCACCACTTTTCGGGGTTGTTGTGAGGTCTGATGGGGGAAGCATAAAGTCCCTGGCAGCTCGGAGGCACACAGGGCCTCTTGTGCTGTGTGCCCCTCCCCACACGGGTTAGATGCAGGAGGCCGCGACCCCAGGCCTAGTCCCGCCGTCGTGTCACGTGTTCTCATAAACTGCGTCATGGGCTCATGTGCCCGTGTCATTATTTGTTCACCTCCTCCCACCAGAATACAGACAAGGACAAGGGCAGGGACCTGCTCATCTCGTTCCCCGCTACGCCCCCATTTCTTGTCACTCTGTCTGGTTCCTGGCCCTCAGTAAGGAGCGGTGGAGTAGGCGGTGCTCTGATTATGAAGGGTCCCCAGTTCCTGTCCTTCCCTTCCTTCCTCTGGGCTGTGCCTGCGGCTGCATATGTGTTGGGACCTCTCATGGTCCCCCTTTTTTTTTTTCTTTAAAGTAGACTCTCGGCCCAACGTGGGGCTTGAACTCATGACCTTGAGATCAAGAGTTACACGGGCTACAGCCTGAGCCAGCCAGGCGCCCCTTATGGTCCCTTCCTGTGAATAGTCTCCGTGACGGGAAGAGGGAGCTGCTTCATCATCGGGCAACTACGGACGCTTCAGTTGAAAGACAGGGACTCCTGTCCTTCTTCCCAGCTGACATCTCAGAGAAACTCCCATCTTTCTTGCAGAAAAAGTGGTTAAGTTTCCAACTGGCTCAAAAAAAGCCTGTTTAATTCAGACGGTTGCAGATTTCCAGTTGCTCATGTTTTGTTTGCAGTGTTGTGAAATCCCAAATAATTGTTTGCACTGTTGGCATCTTGGTTCTTCTCTAGATCATTAGACTTTGTGTCACTCACCTGTGCATTTGGTATCTCATGGGACTTTGTTCCCCCTTTTCTCTTAGATTCTGAAATATGTGGAGTGTTTCACTGGACCCAATATTATGGCCATGCATACAATGCTGATAAATAAACCTCCAGATTCTGGTAAGGGGCTCTTATCTGTTGAGAAGAAAGAAAAAAGTTTCAAGCATTCTAACTATAGCTGTGCATATAACTGCTAAACTTTGATAAGTGAATATATACGTATTTTATTTAAGTCTTAAGATAGCTTACATCTGGGGGTGCCTGGGTGGCTCAGTCAGTTAAACATCTGACATCGGCCTAGGTCACGATCTCATGGTTCGTGAGTTTGAGCCCTGCAACAGGCTCTCTGCTGTCAGCACATCACCTGCTTTGGATCTTCTGTCTCTCTCTTTCTCTGCCCCTCCCCTTCCCTCTCTCTCTTTCTCTCAAAAATAAGTAAACATTAAAAATTTTTTTTTTAATTTTAGAAAGAAAAAGAGCACGTGGGGGAGAGAGGCAGAGTAGGGGAGAGAGAGAGTCTCAAGCAGATTCCACACCTGCTTGACCCTGGCATCCCATGGCCCTGGGATCATGATCTGAGCCAAGATCAAGAGTCAGATGCTCAACTACCTGAGCCACCCAGCCGTCCCTAAAATGTAGCTTCTAAGATCTCACTCTGAGAGAAACTGATTTGGAAGCTAGAACCCCGGAGTCTGCACTTTTTACGCTATCCCCAGAGTCTAATGCAGATGGCCATGCTGAGAAATTCTGCTATACCAGCAGTAATCAATTGGCCCTTCCAGATTCTTGTTTGGTTTTGTTCAGGCAAAGAAGAATAATTCTGAGATGCAAGTATCTTTTAACAGTAGGTTCTGTTGCAGGCAAAAAGACAAGCCGTCATCCTTTGCACCAAGATCTACACTATTTCCCCTTCAGACCTAGTAATAAGATTGTTGCTGCGTGGACGGCCATGGAGCTGGTGACCCAGGACAATGGCTGCCTGTCTGTGCTCCCAGGCACACACAAAGGCTGCCTGAGGCCACACGTTTATCCCCAGTGGGAGGTATGTCTGCCTAGAGAATACATCTTCATTGGAAAACTTACTGTTTTGATTTCATATCGGTATACATAAAGAGCTTTAACGATGAGACAGAATATCCTTTCTTAGCAAAACATTGTTTTAAGATTTGGAATTAGGATCAGTTAGTCTACAAATACTGACTTGGGTTCTCTTCTGCATTCCAGGGGGGGGTTAACATAATGTACTATGGGATCCAGGACTATGATGAAAACAGCCCCCGAGTTCACCTTGTGATGGAGAAGGGAGACACTGTTTTCTTTCATCCTTTGCTCATACATGGATCTGGTCTGAATAAAACTCAAGGATACCGGAAGGTATGCAACAACATCCCTGTACTTTCCAAGATGAATAGATTAGAAACAATGTCAAGATATGTTAAAATTTATGAGATTTGTGACCTTTACCTAAACTGTTCTTTTGTCTGGTTTATTTACCATGAAATCTGTTTGCTACCTCATGCCTTTTTGCTCATATCAGTAAGAAGCCAAGTGACTTTAGGATTCCAATCCCTCTGGTACTGAATTACGAACATTCACAGTATTGCTTCAGGGAAAGAGCTTACTTAGTAGCCCCGTAGCCTGTACTTTTGGAGGCAAAAATAATGGCTGACGTACTAAAATAATAAAATTTGGAATGTATACAGTTCATAATAACTATATAAGAGGAAAAGTTATAATAGCATTGTTATTGGGAAAAATATGTCCGATTCTAAACCAAGTTTCTGAATTGACTTCCCAAAAGTCAAATTTAGCAGGCAGCCATATTTTTCATTCCTTAGCCCCAGAATGTGTTAAACCTAATGATTCCATTGCTTACATTAAAATCTGAGCAACATTTCTCATATTCCCAGATTTCTTGCTTCTTGAAAATTCAGCAGATCTGACAGTACAGTGGATTCACATTTCCCCCATGATAACACAGGTCTCGATACTAAATATTGGGGGCTTCTTTGGGGCTGAGTGAGGTCTTTCAGTTTGTCACACCAACCCCTATTGTCTCCCTGAGGTCATCGGTCATCTTCTATTCATTCATATTTGTGCCAGGGCCAAGATGAGGGTGTGAGGCAAGAAGACACTCTCCTCTGGGGCAAAATTTAAGGATGAGGGGAAGGATCTAAGAAAAAAAACCCCTCAACAATCAAGTTAAATGATATTTAATGTAATATTTAAAAAAATCAAAGTTACTGCAAAAATATCCATGGTGAAGACAATGCCAAAATTTTAAATAGAGACTAGATCAGGGGCAGCTGGCTGGCTCAGTCAATGGAGCATGTAACTCTTGTTTTTGGGGTTGTGAGTTAGAGCCTCATGTTGGGTGTAGAGAATAGAAATTACTTAGAAAAAGAAAATATTTATTTTATTATTATTTTATTTATTATTTTTGTTTTTATTTTAAAAAATTTTTAATGTTTATTTTTGACAAGGAGACACATACACAGAGTGCAAGCAGGGAAGGAGCAGAGAGAGAGGGAGACACAGAATCTGAAGCAGGCTCCTCGCTGTCAGTGCAGAGCCTGACATGGGGCTTGATCCCATGAACTCTGAGTTCATGACCTGAGCCAAGATCAGGAGTTGCATGCTTAACCGACTGAGCCACCCAGGTGCTCCTGTTTATAACTTTTTCAAGAATGGGGAGAACCAAGTAACCTTCATCTTACCTTCGGAAGGAAACAAGATGGGTATTGTATGTGAATGCTATTGGATTTCACATGTCCTTTTGATTTGAAAGGGGAGGGTGTGTGTATTATTTCCCTTTGCAAGGTATTTTTCTTTCATGATCTGTAGCCATTGAAATAAAAACCCATCACAGACTCAGCTGAGTAACTTGTGAGACCAAGTAACTTTGGAACACATTCCTTTTGAGGACCTGAGGACATCTACTCTTTAGAAAAATCATATGCTAATACATTAAAGTCCCCTTGGCATGTCATTGTGTTCCCTGCCCATTTTGAGAACAATTATCACAGGTAGCTACAACCTCTTGTAGGAGACCCTGGGTGGTTCAGTTGGTTAAGCCAACTTCAGCTCAGGGCACCATCTCATGCATGGTTTGTGAGGCGGAGCCCCACTTCGGGCTCTCTGCTGTCAGCATAGAGGCCCCTTCAGATCCTCTGACCGCCCCCCTCTCTGCCCCACCCCAGCTCATTTTCTCTCTCTCCCTCTCGAAATAAACTTTTAAAAAGTTTTTTAAAATTAATAAAGATAAAACATAAAAATCTCTTGTAATTTCTCAATCAGCCTTTAACTATACTTGGAGAAAAAACTACTGAACACTGAAGAGATTAATACAGGATATAGCTTTCAATCTAGAAATCAGACTTCCCTTCAGAAGTCTCCTTCTTTTTTTTTTTTAAGTTTTTTTTTAATGTTTTATTTATTTCTAGGAGAGAGAGAGAGAGAGACAGCGTGAGCAGGGGAGGGTCAGAGAGAGAGGGAGTCACAGACTGAAACAGGCTCCAGGCTCTGAGCTGGCAGTCAGCACAGAGCCTGACGCGGGGCTCGAACCCACGAACCATGAGATCATGACCCAAGCGAAAGTCGGACGCTTAACCGACTAAGCCACCCAGGCGCCCCAGAAGTCTCCTTCTTTAGTTGCTGGTGTTCGTGGAATGTTTTTTCTTCCCCAATATTAATCATCTCACTTGGCACAGACAATTTCCTGCCATTTCGCCAGTGCCGACTGCCACTACATTGATGTGAAAGGCACCAGTCAAGAAAGCTTTGAGAAGGATCTCAAAGGCATAATGCAGAAACAATACAAAATTCCAGAAGACACCAGACTGCAGGTAGGTTTGTATGAGATGACAGGTAAGATCTTTTTTATTTTTCCCTTTTCTTCAGATGCTTAATAATTCTCATACCTGATTTCCTTTGGAAGTAGTGCTTTGTTTAGAGTGCCTTGCTGAGATCTGCTAACAAGGACAGTGGAATTTCAGTTTGTTTTTGCTTCCCATTGGGGGGGAACCGAGCACTGCGTGCTTCTTTATGTCCTTTGGTAGGCAGGCTGTCCTGTTCCAGAACTGACAGGCAGGAAAGGCAACATAAAACAGAAGTGGAGGAGAGGAAGTGACGGACAAAGGTGACCTTCTGAACGCACGTAAGGAAAAGTGAAAGGTTTGGAGGGAGTATCTACACTTAATGTAATTCTTACTGGATTTACATTATTGGAGTCTTATTGGACTCCCAGAAAGCAGTTCTCAAGCAGGTTTCTGTTTGGGTCAGTTAGCATCTGGAGTGTCATGAGAGGCACAGCTTGGGTGGAACAGACATCAAAAATCATTGATGCTTATCGATAGGGGGTATGAGACCACATTTCATATGCTCTCTGAATGAGTACACATCACTTGTAAATTACTCGTTTTTAACTAGTGGACATTCAATGCTGATGATCATCACTGGACAAATTATAGTGAAGGCAAACAAATAAACATGTTTGGGGCACCTGGGTGGCTCAGTCAATTAAGCATTTGACTTCAGCTCAGGTCATGATCTTACAGTTTGTGGGTTTGAGCCTCATGTCGGGCTCTGTGCTGACAGCTCAGAGCCTGGAGCCTGTTTCTAATTCTGTGTCTCTCTATCTCTCTGCCCTCCCCAGCTTGTGCTCTGTCTCTGTCTCTCTCTCAAAAATAAATAAACATTAAAAAAAAATAAACATGTTTGCTTTCTAGACAAAGTACATTTTAGCCTCTGAACCAAGAGGCTGATCCTATTTTTAAATGTGCATTAATTGTAAATGCATGCATCTCCCATGGGGGTGACATGGCCCCAAACAGCCTGAGTGTGATGATGACTCTGGGCCTTCCAGGCCTGTGAAGGGCACTGGACACCAACACTAAGTGACCAGCCGTGGCTCTGGGAGTCCCATCTTCTGAAACTCCTCAGTTTAAGAATCTTACTTCTCCCTTGGCCCTTGACAAGGCACTAATTTCACGTTTGGAGACCGTAGAAAGTCTTGTCCTTCTCCCCTCTGTCCAGTGCTTAAAAAGCTTTAAAAGGCATCATATTTTGTCCAGTGGGGCTTCTGTGCTTTACTCAGAGCTTTATTTTATTTTTTAAACATTAGCAAGTAGCAGTTAAAAAATTTTTATTTAAAACCTTTTAAAAATAATTTTTAATAATTTTTTTAAAAAGATTACTTACTTATTTTGAGAAAGAGAAAGAGAGAGAGACTGCAAGTGAGGGAGGGGCAGAGAGAGGGGGAGATTCTGAAGCAGGCTCCGCACTGTGAGCCCAGAGCCCATGTGGGGCTGGGACTCATGAAACTGTGAGGTCATGACCAGGGCCGAAATCAAGAACTGGAGGGTTAACCGGCTGCGCCCTATTTATATATTTATTTTTGAGAGATAGAGCAAGCAAGCAGGAAGGGGCAAAGAGAAGGGGACAGAGGATCCTAGCAGGCTCCAGGCTGACAGCAATGAGTCTGATGTGGGGTCTGAACCCACAAACCATGAGATCATGACCTAAGCCAAAGTCAGATGCTCAACCAACTGAGCCATCCAGGCACCCCTGACTCCATGCTCATTTTTTTTTTTAATTTTTTTTTTTTAATGTTTTATTTATTTCTAGGAGAGAGAGAGAGACAGCGTGAGCAGGGGAGGGTCAGAGAGAGAGGGAGTCACAGATTGAAACAGGCTCCAGGCTCTGAGCTGGCAGTCAGCACAGAGCCCGACGCGGGGCTCGAACCCACGAACCGCGAGATCATGACCTAAGTGAAAGTCGGACGCTTAACCGACTAAGCCACCCAGGCGCCCCTCCATGCTCATTTTAAAAAATGTTTAATAAATGTTTATTTTTGAGAGAGAGAGACAGGGCGCAAGCAGGGGAGGGGCAGAGAGATTGGGAGACACAGATCTGAAGCCAGCTCCAGGCTCTGAGCTGTTGGCACAGAGCCCAACACGGGGCTCAAACTCATGAACCACCAGATCATGACCTGAGCTGAAGTCGGATGCTCAACCAACTGAACCACCCAGGTGCCCTTGGCTCTATACTGTTAATGAGAAACTTAAAAGTCCAAGAGGTCGGCCTAACTGACCTGAAAACAGAGCTGGATTTTGGAGTCAGGTGAAATTCCACAATCATTCTTCCCATCATACCTTGCAGTTTGCTCAAAAATAAGCAATAAGAAAGATGGAATTGTTTTATTAAGAACAATGAATAAAACAAATAAACCTGTAACTCATGACATTATTTTCACTTAGAAGCAGATCACTCTAAACGGGGCAGCACAATGGGGCGTGTTGGGCATTGTGACCAAACACCATGCTCAGCCAGTCCACGATCCCTATAGACAAGAGGAGCACGAAATAACACAGGCTAACCGTTTGGGGACTCTGTTCTCTCAGTTTCTTCAACACCGTTTTAGATGTTGGCAAGTAAATTATTTGGAGTCTTAGAATGTGGTTTATTTACTTACTGATAAGACTACTGTCGAGGTTTTTTCTCTTTCTTTCTTTTTTTAAATTTGTAATGTTTTCTTTCTGAGACAGGGGGGCAGCATGAACAGGGGAGGATCAGAAAAAGAGGGAGACACAGAATCCAAAACAGGCTCCAGGCTCCGAGCTAGCTGTCAGGACAGAGTCTGACGCGGGGCCTGAACCCACAAACTGTGAGATCATGACCTGAGCTGAAGTAGGACGCTTAACCGACTGAGCCACCCATTTGCCCCTGTCAAGGTTTTTTTTCTATGACACCATTTGTACATGCTAGAAATCTACTTTGTCTTGTGCTGAACAAACAGATTCTCAGGGTTCCATTAACTGATTGGGTTTCGCTTTATTTACAGGATGTGTTTAGATTCAAAGCACGGCTCGTGAAAGGAGAGAGGACCAACCTTTGAAATAGCCCTTTGAGAGAAAAGCACAATTAATCAAGGTGCCTAAGGAGAATGTTTTACTAATAAACTGTTGTAATCTTTTCCATCATTTGTTAACAAAATCACAATGCACACATCAGCTACTTTGGAGTATATGATTAATTCTGCACACAGTGGTGTTGCTTTGATGGATGAATGAATAGTAACAATGACATACTACTGTTTTAAGGAAAACTAACTTAGGGTTGCAACTAATAAAGGTGATTGATGTCTAATTTAAATGTGTTAAATCAGTTTCTTTCATTTATTTAGCTCTTTGATCAATCAGAATGAAATGCTTTGAAGCTCAGGGTATGCTGGTTTTGCATACCTCTTCTGGAAAACCCACTGCCACCAATTTCATGTCATGAGAGACTTAGCAAATTGAGAACAATGTCTAACACAGGCACATTTAATGAAGGGCAGCGTGGAGTGAAAATAAGGGTGGACGCTCGTGCCTGGACACCAGATTCCTTCCATGACTTCTCCAACCCAACAAGCCTCCTTAAAACAAAAACTAGGCTGGGGATGCCTGGGGGGCTCAAGTCTCTTGAGCATCGGACTCTTGGTGTTGGCCCAGGTCATGAGTCAAACCCTACATCAGGCTCCTTGCTGATGGTATAAAGCCTGCTTGTGACTCGCTCTCCCTCCCTCTCTGCCTCTTCAGCGTGCACTCTCTCTCTCTCCCTCAAAATAAACTTTAAAAACAAAAACAAAAACAAAACTAGGCTGGATCTTTCTAAGTCCTTTTCTCTATTCCTAAAGAATGAAGACAGAGGTAACTTCATCTGCTATATTTTTTTTTGAGTAAGGCAGCTGAAACACACAAATTTAAACACAAATTTAAACACAAATTTTCTTAAACCTAGTTCCACTGTTTTTGTCAGTTTTTTTGTGAAGACACGTGGTGTAAACTCAGGTCCAGCTGGAAAATGGAGAAGGCAAGACTATCGCTGACAGGGTTTAAGGAAACTGGATCACAGAATAATTGGACATAAAATGTACATAAGAAATACCTGTGTAAATAGCACGTATGGAGCACTGTTCCACAAAACACTTTTCAAACTCATTTCACATTTAAAATAAATCTGAAAGAATAAACTTCAGTAGCAAAACCAGACAACACAATTTGTTATTTTCTTATGCATTTTTTTTTAATTTATTTTTTAATTTTTTTAAAAGGTTTTTTTATTTATATTTGAGAGAGAGAGAGAGAGACAGCGTGAGCAGGGGAGGGTCAGAGAGAGAGGGAGATACAGAATCAGAAACAGGCTCCAGGCTCTGAGCTGGCTGTCAGCACAGCACCCGACGCGGGGCTCGAACCCACAAACCATGAGATCATGACCTGAGCCGAAGTCGGACACTTAACCGACTGAGCCACCCAGGCGCCCCTCTTATGCATTTTTAAAAGTTTATTTATTTCGAGACAGAGAAAGAACATGAGTAGGGGAGGGGCAGAGAGAGAGAGAGAGAGAGAGAGAGAGAGAGAGAGAGAGAATCCCAAGCAGGCTCTATGCTGTCAGCACAGAGCCCAATGTGGGGCTCACGAACCACTGAGATCATGACCTGAGCCGAAGTCGGATGCTTAACTGACTGAGCCATCCAGGCGCCCCTCTGAGCGCATACTTCTAAGGATAACTGAATGTTAACTATGACTTCACAAGGACTCAGTCAAGAGCCCATTTTGAAGACAGTTAAATTTAAGCTAGAGGATTAGAGATGTGAAAAAAAAAATGAGCTGGTGTTAAGAAGGGGGTGATGGTAAGTTGAAAAGCTGTTTTCTGTGTTTATTGCTTATGCAGGACGATGCTGATACAGCAGGGAAGATTTTGGGTTGACTTGAAGGAGGAACACCTTGCAAATGAAACACGGAAGCAGTAATTCTGGTGTCCCCCCTCCCTGAAGACAGACGGTCCTCTCGGGTGCTTTGGAGGAGGGGGCGATTCACAGGTAGAGGTAGGGCTTTGGGATTCTGGCTCTCCCACTTCCTAGCAAGTTAACCTCCCTGAGCCTGTCTCTCCTCATCGCTAAAGTAGCCACAATTAGGGACACCTGGGTGGCTCAGTCGGTTAAGCGTCCGACTTTGGCTCAGGTCATGATCTCACGGTTTGTGAATTCGAGCCCCACGTCGGGCTCTGTGCTGACAGCTAGCTCAGAGCCTGGAGCCTGCTTCAGATTCTGTCTCCCTCTTTCTCTGACCCTCCCCTGCTCATGCTGTCTCTCTCTCTCAGAAATAAATTTAAAAAAAAAATTAAAAAGAAAAGTAGCCACAATTATGACTGTCTTCTAGGGTGATAGTAGGGGGTACACAGTAGATATACTACCCAGGGCACTGCTGCACAGCTCAGATCCCTTTTGGGAATAAAAAATATGTATCCCAATGTTGGAAGTGCTGTCTGCAGATGTCCTTCAGCTGTCAGCCCTCTCAGCCCCCAGGATGGGCCTTGGCCGCAGAACTGCCTCGGCCGAGGTCATGTCCCTTCCTTATGTCCATTGCCTGGTACAGTGTTGGGGGTATGAAGGCTGAGACTTAGCCCAACTTAAGGCAGCTCTAAAGGGTCATCCCATTTCAGAGAGGCTCTCACTGTGCCTATTTCTTTGCACTCTGCCAGCATTCGATGGTCTAAATCCTTTTAATTTTTCATGACCTAATAAAAGAGCAATATCTAAAAGATGATTAGAATTTGCATTTATTTGATAATAATGAGATTGAGGATTTTTCTTATCTTTAGAGGCTTTCTGTGACTGGCCTACTAAATGCTGGTCTCTTCTTAGTCCTACACATTCCTTCAATAAAGGCTGTAGAAAAGATTTCAAATAGCCATACATGGCTTGAATGTCTTGAGAGATTAAGCTTACTTTTCCTTCTCATTCACTGCATGCCTGACCCTCATGTTGTAATTCTCAGCCTCCGGGATTTTAATAGAAATAGAAGGTGATATCAAGTCCTAAACCCACTGAGGGGTGCTGATATGTGTCCTGGAAGGTAGGAGAGAAAGAAGGTGGGGACAAAGGTTTGTGCAGGGGTGATGTTTGAAATACGTAGCAAGGGCATGATTAATTAGGCATTGTGCAGACAGGAATGTGGCACTTCTTGACACTTTGTGAAGTTCCTGAGCAGTGGGTACCTCATCAGGCTCACTGGAAGCACCCCAGGAAAGTGGCCAGACTCCAGAAGTCTCCTAAGGAAAGGCTGGTCCCATTGGCAGGTTGGGGCCTGGGTTATTCAGGCTGGCTCAGTCCATGTTCACTATTTCCAGAGCAGCATACCCCCCTGCTCTCCCTCCCTGGTAGCTAACTCAGGGTTATTCTCAGGCACCTTCACACAGGTAGGTGAGTACTGGACACATCATCCAGAGAAAAAGATCAATAAGGCAACAATGGCCATAACTGACACATTAGGCCAGATTAACTTACATACAAAACATTCCACCCCAAAGCAGCAGGGAACATGGAACATTCTCTAAGTTAGAGCACATGTTAGGACACAAAACAAGTCTAAATTCAAGAACATTAAAATCATATCAAGTTTCTTTTCCAACCCACGATGGTATGAAACTAAAAGTTAATTACAAAAAGAAAACAGGAAAACCCACAAAAATGTGGACATTAAACAACACGCTACTGAACAACCAATGGGTCATCAAAAAATCAAAGGAAAAATGAAAAAATACCTAGAGACAAATGAAAACAGAAGTACAACATACCAAAATTTGTAAGAGGCAGCAAAAGTGATTCTAAGAGGGAAGATCACAGAAATATAGGCCTACTTCAAAACAAGAAATATCTCAAATAAGCAATATCACTTTACATTCAAAGGAACTATAAGAAGAAAAAGCCCAAAATTAGTAGAAGGAACGAAACAATAAAGATCAGAGCAGAAATAAAGGAAATACAGATTAAAATGACAATAGAAAATATCAATGAAACTAAGAGCTGATCCTTTGAAAAGTCTAGGTAGACTAACCAAGAATAAAAGAGAGAAAGCTTAAATAAACAAAATCAGGGACACCTGGTGGCTCAGTCAGTTAAGCGTCTGACTTCGGCTCAGGTCATGATCTCACAGTTTGTGGGTTGGAGCCCCGCATCAGGCTCTGTGCTGACAGCTCAAAGCCTGGAGCCTGCTTCAGATTCTGTATCTCCCTCTCTCTCTGACCCTCCCCTCACACGCTGTCTCTCTCTCTCTCAGAAAGAAATAAAACATTTAAAAAAAAAAAGCAAAATCAGACATGAAAAAGTAAAAGTTATAACCAATACCACAGAAAGACAAAGGATCATAAAAGACCACCACAACCAATTATACACCAACAAGCCAGACATCCTAGAAAACATATAATCTTTCTAGATGGAATCATGAAGAAATTGAAAAGCTGAATAGAGCTATTACTAGTAAGGAGTTTGAAGCAGTAAACAAAAGTCTCTCAACAAACAAAAGTCCAGGACCAGATGGCTTCACTGGCAAATTCTACTAAACATTCAAAAAAGATGTAATACCTATCCTTCTCAAAGTCTGCCAACAAGTTGAAGAGGAGGGGCGCCTGGTTTGCTCAGTCAATTGAGAGCCTGAATCTGGATTTCAGCTCAGGTCATGATCCCAGGGTCATGGAATCGAGCCCCATGTTGGGCTCCATGTTGAGGATGCAGCCACTGAAGATTCTCTCTCCCTCTGGCCATTTCCCCTACTTGTGCTCGCTCTCTCTCTCTTAAAAAAAAAGTTGAAGAGGAGGGATATCTTCCAAACACATTTTATAGCATTACCCTGATACCAAAACCAGACAAAGACAAAGGCAGCAGCAAAGAAAAAAAAAAAAAGGAAATTACAAGCTAATATCCTTCATGAACATAGAGTTGAAAATCCTCAACAAAATATTAGTGAATCGAATTCAACGATACATTAGAAGGCACATATGCCACAATCAAGTGGGATTTATCCCAGGGTCTAACAAGAATGGTTTAATATTGGCAAATCAATAAATGTGATACATAACATTAACAAAATGAAAGAGTAAAATCATACGGTCATGTCAATAGATGCAGAAAAATCATTTGACAAAATTCAACATCCATTTGTGGTAAAAACTCTCAACAAAGTGGGTATAAAGGGAACAAACCTCAACACCATAAAGGCCATATATGACATCAAACTCAATCATGAAAAAGCTGAAAGCTTTTGCTTTAAAAACAGGAACAAGATAAGAATGCTCACTCTTGCCACTTTAATCAGCATAATACTAGAAGTCCTAGCCATAGCAATCAGGCAAGAAAAAGAAATAAAAGGCAGTTAAGTTGGAATCAAAGAAGTAAATTGCCAATATTTCCAAATGACATGATACCCAGACATAGAAAACCCTAAAGAATCCACCAAAAAACTATTAGAACTAATAAATAAATTCAGTAAAGTTGCAGGATATAAAATCAATGTACAGAAATCTGTGGCATTTCCATACACAAATAATGAAACATCTGAAAGAAAAATTAAGAAAATAATCCCACTTAGTGCCTGGGTGGCTCAGTCGATTAAGTGCCTGACTCTTGATTTCAGCTCAGGTCATGATCTCATGGTTCGTGAGTTCAAGCCCCACAACAGGCTCTGTACTGACAGTGTGAAGCCTGCTGCGATTCTGTCTCCCTCTCTCTCCCGCCTGCCCCTGCTTGTTATGTCTGAAAAGAAATAAAAATAAACTTTAAAAAAAGAAAGAAAACAATCCCATTTATAATTGCATCAAAAAGAATAAAAAGAATAAATACCTCTTTTAACCAAAGAAGTGAAAACTGAACACTATAATCTATAAAACACTGATGAAAGAAATTGAACATTTAAATAAATGGAAAGATAATTTGTGCTCATGGATTGGAAGAATTAATATTATTAAAATGTCCACCCTGGGGGCGCCTCAGTGGCTCAGTCGTTTGAGCGTTTAACTTCAGCTCAGGTCAGGATCTTGCAGTTTGTGGGTTCGAGCCCTACATCGGTCTCTGTGCTGACAGCTAGCTCAGAGCCTGGAGGATGTCTTCGGACTCTGTGTCTCCCCTCTCTCTCTGACCCTCCCCTGCTCATGCTGTCTCTATCTCTCTCTCAAAAATAAATAAAAACT